TGGCCATCTGTCAGGGGTGCTTTGAGTGCAATATTCCTGCTTCTTGGCAGAATGGGGTTGGACTGGAGGATGACCCAGGAGGTCTCTTCCAACTCTAGGATTGTATGATTCTATGATTCTGTTTGGTTCAGCCCATTCTGGCTTAGAGCTTGGCAGAAAGACTTTTTGCTCCATTCTTTCTTTGGACATAGTTTTTGTAGTTAGCCAGAACATGTCTGGTCTGGCTTAGCAGTCTGAACAGGCCATCCTTAGCACATATATGCCTTAGACTCTATAGACCAGGAGTCCTCAAACTTTTTAAACAGAGGGCCAGGTCATAGTCCCCCAAATTGTTGGAGGGCAGGATTATAATTTGAAAAAAAAAAAACATGAATGAATTCCTGTGCACACGGCACATCTCTTATTTGTAGTGCAAAAAAAAACCCCACTTAAAAACAATACACTAAATAAAATGAAGAACAATTTTAACAAATATAAACTTATTAATATTTCAGTGGGATGTGTGTGCCTGCTTTTGGCTGATGAGATAGGATTGTTGTTGTTGTGTGCTTTCAAGTAGTTTCAGACTTAGGTTGACCCTGAGTGAGGGCCGGGTAAATGACCTTGGAGGGCCGCATCTGGCCCCCGGACCTTAGTTTGAGGACACCTGCTATAGACTATAGTATATATGGCATAGAATTGACCAATATTTGCCTTAGAGTTTATACCATTATAGTTATATTTACCTCAGTTATACCTTATACCTGTTTCTTACTGTTCTAATTCTATACCATCATAATCAAACTGCACCTTTGTATACCTTGTTTTCATTCATCTTGATTATTTAGTAAACTTAATTGATGAATTTTAGTCTCGTCTGTAGAGTATTATTTTGGGGGCATTAAAGTACATATAGGGCATACCCATGGTCACTGGGAAAATAGCCAAACACACATAGTTTTCCTTTAATCTTCCTGATTGTGCCATCATATCACCCATAAACCACATCTGGAATATTGTGTCCAATTCTGGGCACCACAATTCAAGAGAGATATTGACTCTAAGCTGGAATGTGTCTCCTGGGAGCCTCCTGATGTCATTAGTAGCAGTAGTATATTATATTCACATTATATTATTATTCATTGTAACATATTACAATTATTATATTACTATTATACTACTATTATTATTGTTGTTGTTACTACTGTTATTATTGTTACAACAACAGAGAGGAAACAAACAAGGACATCTAATCACCTCTCAACAAAAGATTGCTCCAGGCACAGTCAGGCCATTGTATGCTAATCAAGGTGGTCAGTTGAAACATTCACCTCCTAGCTCCAGCAGACAAGAGTCCTTTGTCCCACCCTGGTCATTCCACAGATATATAAATCCTTTTTCCTAGTTCCATGATTGTATGATTGTATTTTGCTATTTTAATGTTTTCGTGTGATTTAGAATATGATGTTTTAATGACTGTCTGTAATATTGATGTTGGAAACCGGCCTGAGTCCTTCGAACGGAGGTGAGAAGACAGGTATACACAACTGCTAAATAAATAAATAGTTCCAACAGACCTCACTACCTCTAAGGATGTTTGCCAGAGATGCAGGCAAAACGTCAGGAGAGAATGCCTCTACAACATGGCCATATAGCCCAAAAAAGCCCTACAACAACCCAGAGAGGAAACAATCAGGGACAACTAATCACCTCTCAACAAAAGATTCCCCCAGGCACTAACAAGCCACACCAAACAACAGCCAGGCCATCAAATGCGAATCAAGGTGGTCAGTTGAAACATTCACACCTGGCTCCAACAGACAAGAGTCCTTTGTCCCACCCTGGTCATTTGACAGATATATAAACCCATTTCCCTTGTTCCAACAGACCTCACTCCCTCTGAGGATGCTTGCCATAAATGCAGGCGAAACGTCAGGAGAAATGCCTCTAGAACATGGCCATATAGCCCGGAAAACCTACAACAACCCAGTGATTCCGGCCATGAAAGCCTTCGACAATACAAGGTCGGTCGCCTTTGCTGGTGCCTGCCCAAACTACAGTTCCCATCGTGCTGGACCCTTGATCCCAGGGCTCTTCAATTGCAAGCCACCTGCATTTGTCTTTCAGGAAAGGCGCTCTCCAAGGTGCTGAAAAGGGGCCTGATTTCCAGGGATGCTGCTCTTTGGCCTCCACTATATTATTGCATTTATATTTATATGTTCTATATAATTACTTATATAGTATATATAATTATTTATATTATACACATAAAGCCCCCCCTCTCTCTATATATATATATCTTGGGCTCCACTATATTTTTGCACTTATATATATATGTTCTATATAAATATTTATACATTATATAAAATTATTTATATTATATATATAAAGCTCTCTCTCTCTATATATATAATAGTGTATAATAATGATTACTATTAATAAGAATTATTATTAATGTTATTTCATATTTGACAAAGGCTTTCATGGCCGGAATCATAATATGTTGAATTATTTCACATTAGTAATATGTATAAGCATATGTATATATATTTAATACAATATATATATATATATATATATATATATATATATATATAATTGTTTACATTATATATCATGTGCATATATAAAACATATATAATGTATAATGTATATATTATATATAATGTATATATTATATATAATATAATATATATTTATCTATATTATATATATTATAGCTATAATAAATAATACATATAATATATTATTAATGTTATATATAATGTTTATATAATATAGAATGCATATATAATATACATTATATATAATGTATGTTATATATTTTATATCTATATAATATATATATATTATTTTGTATATATCTACAATGTATCTATGGGTTTATATTTATACAGTGTATAATAATTCTTATTTTTCATATGAATTATTACTAATAATATATTATATAATATATATAATGTACAATGCATATATTATATACATTATATTTAATGTATATATTATAAATAATATATATACAATGTATCTATATGTTTATATTTATACAGTGTATAATAATACTTATTTTTCATATGAATTATTACTAATAATATATTATAGAGTATATATAATGTATAATGTATATATTATATACATTATATATAATGTGTATGTATTATATATTATATATACAATGTATCTATGTGTTTCTATTTATACAGTGTATAATAATTTTTATTTTTCATAAGAATTATTACTAATAATCTACTATATAATATATATAATGTATAATGCATATATTATATACATTATATTTAATGTATATATTATAAATAATATATATACAATGTATCTATGTGTTTATAAGTGTATAATAATGCTTAATTTTATAAGAATTATTACTAATAATATATTATATAATATATACAATGTATATATTATATTTTATATACATTATATATAATGTATATATTATTTATTATATATACAATGTATCTATGTGTTTATATTTATACCGTGTATAATAATACTTATTTTTCATAAGAATTATTACTAATAAATATGATTTCCTATTTGTCAAAGGATTCCATGGCCGGAATCATAATAAATAACGCGTGGGATAGGCAGACAAAAAAATCGCCCCCTGTGCCTTTAAATAGATGGCTCCGCCCACAACAGGCGCGCCTCAGCCAGCCAATCGGGAAAGAGGTGACGTATGCAGAAACTGACTGGACCCGCGGTCACGTGGGAGCTGCCGGCGCCATCTTTGGTCCGGGCAGCGTCCAAGCCGCCACAGGGCGCTCTTACCGTCAAAACATACCGAAACCTCGGCAGGGTTCCCGCTGTTGCGCCGTGCGTTCTCGAAAGCAGAACTCTTCGGGCGGGAAAGAGCGCGCGCTTGAGGAAAGACGGCCAAGTGCCAGGGACAAAGATGGCGGGCGGAGCGCGCCTCCCGTGATGCTCCGGGTGTCACAGCGTAAAGCGTCCGGGCGGAAACGCGGAAGTGCAAGCGGTCAGAGAAAGAGAGGTCGGGGCGCTGCTTTGACGGGAGTGGTGAGTGGACGAGGCGCCGAAGCCTAAGGCTATGGGATGCTGCGAGTTGAAGTTGGTCCTGCAATTTGGTGCTGGGTTAGCCATGCTTTGGGATGCTGGGAGTTGTAGTCAGTTCTGTAAAGGGATGCTGAGAGATGTAATTGCTCCTGTAATGGGATGCTGGGAGTTGGAGTTAGTTCTGTAAACGCATGCTGGGAGTTGTAGTTGATCCTGTAATGGGATGTTGGGAGTTGTAGTTGGTCCTGCAATTTGGTGGTGGGTTAGCCATGCTTTGTGATGCTGTGAGTTGTAGTTAGCCCTGTAATGGGATGCTGGGAGTTGTAGTTAGTCTTACAATGGGATGCTGGGAGTTGTAATTAGTCCTGTAGTGGGATGCTGGGAGTTGTAATTAGTCCTGTAATGGGATGCTGGGAGTTGTAGTTAGTCCTGTAATGGGATGCTGGGAGTTGTAGTTGGTCCTGTAATGGGATGCTGGGAGTTGTAGTTAGTCCTGCAATGGGATGCTAGGAGTTGTAGTTGGTCCTGAAATGGAGTGCAGGGAGTTGTAGTTGGTCCTGCAATGGGGTGCTGACTTAGCCATGCTTTGGGATGCTGGGAGTTGTAGTTAGTCCTGCAATGGGATGCTGGGAGTTGTAGTTAGTCCTGTAGTGGGATGCTGGGAGTTGTAGTTAGTCTTGCAATGGGATGCTGGGAGTTGTACTTAGTCCTACAGAGCACAAATAATCCAAGACATGAGCCACACATGCGGTGTGAGTGTGACGTGGCAGCATGAAAGGCCAATGCGATTCTCAGCTATTATACTATTATTATTATTAGTCTCCCTTTGGATCCAGCTCTCGGGAAGCCCACCATGAAGGCTGGCCCTGCTCCCTGCTGTTCCTGCTTCCGGCCTGGAGTCTCCGCCAGCGACGTTGCATTGCCAAAAGGAACCTGCAGCCACCACACCTTATAGGCTCTGCCGAGTCGCGGGCGGCCACTCCACCCCACCCGCCTTGGGTTGGGTGTCCCTCGGCTTGGAGATGTGGAAGCTGCCGCTAGTCCCGCTGCTCATCAACTTCCTGGGCTCGCTCCTGGGCTTCGTGGCCACCGTGACCCTCATCCCGGCCTTCAAGGACCACTTCATCGCCGCCAAGCTCTTCGGCCTCGACTTGAACAAGACCTCGAAGCAGCCCGTGTGAGTCCACCCCAAAAAGTGGCAAACATTCAATGCCATTAATGAAAACTCACAAACCAGATCAAACCAATAATACAACAACATCAATATACTGTATATAATCGAGTATAAGCCTAATTTTTCTGCCCTTTTTTTGGGCTGAAAAAGCTCCCCTTGGCCTATACTCGAGCCAGGGTTATTTATTATTTTACTCTGTTATTGTTATTATTTTTGTTATATATATTTTACTACTCTATTTATTATTATTATTTTATTACATTTATTATTTTACTCTATTTATAATTGTTATGTTTATATTTATATTTATTATTTATTATTTTACTTTGTTATTAGTATTATTTTTATTATATTTATTTTATTTCTCTATTTATTATTATTTTATTACATTTATTATTTGACTCTATTTATTATATTTATATTTATTATTATTATTATTATTATATTTATATTATTATATTTATTAATTTGCTCTATTATTATTATTGGAGGGATACGTAAGCACATTTACATTGAAGGAGGCTAGAATAATGGTTTAATCCGAGTTGGATAGTCTTAATTACAGTTTTATGTAAATATTCAAAAACATTTAACCTCCTGATTCCTCAATTAATGCAATGTTATTGGTATCTATTTTCATTTTGAAATGTACCAGTAACTGCTTCATTTCCCACCCTCGGCTTATACTTGAGTCAATACATTTTCCCAGTTCTTGTGGTAAAATTAGGTGCCTCATCTTATATTCAGATCGCCTTATACTCGAGTATATATGGTAACTTAAAATAACGAAACCAAGTAAATAAATTAAAGCAATACTGACTTAATTGAAGCAGATTGAATCACCACAACAGGATTGGTGTTATGTTTTTAAAATCTGTTTTAAATGTATTTATATGAGAAAACAAGCCTTCTCTCTGCCTTATGGCCTCCTTTCCTGAATGTTTTATGATGGTGTGTTTTTAACTCAGCTGTGCCCTGCCTGGAGCCACAAGGAGAGACAAGGAAGAAATACAACAATAATAATAGTAATTATTATTATTTTGCGCTTTGTCCCCAGCCCAGAGTCCCAAGGTGTCATTAGCGGCGCCGTGTTCCTCATCATCCTCTTCTGCTTCATCCCGGTGCCCTTCCTGAGCTGCTTTGTGGAGGAACAGTGCAAGGCCTTCCCGCACCATGAGGTCAGTGCCTGCAGTTATTAGTACAGTGTCCCCTCGCTGCATCAATAGGAGCCTAGTGCCTAGATCTAGGGAAGTCATGCTCCCTATGCTCTATTCCGCTTTGGTTAGACCACACCTGGAATATTGTGTCCAATTCTGGGCACCACAATTGAAGGGAGATATTGACAAGCTGGAATGTGTCCAGAGGAGGGAGACTAAAGAGTCTGGAGAACAAGCCCTATGAGGAGCGGCTTAAGAGCTGGGCATGTTTAGCCTGAAGAAGAGAAGGCTGAGAGGAGACATGATGAGCCATGTATAAATATGTGAGAGGAAGCCACAGGGAGGAGGGAGCAAGCTTGTTTTCTGCTTCCCTGGAGACTGGGACATGAAACAATGGCTTCAAACTACAAGAAAGGAGATTCCATCTGAACATGAGGAAGAACTTCCTGACTGTGAGAGCCGTTCAGCAGTGGAACTCTCTGCCCCGGAGTGTGGTGGAGGCTCCTTCTTTGGAAGCTTTTAAAGAGGCTGGATGGCCATCTGTCAGGGGTGATTTGAATGCAATATTCCTGCTTCTTGGCTGAATGGGGTTGGACTGGATGTCCCATGAGGTCTCTTCCAACTCTTGGATTCTATGTTTCGCGGTTCGCTTTATGCGGACTCACTATTTCGCATTTTTAAAAAATAGATATATTAATTTATTGGAGGCTGAACCCGGGAAAGAGGAGGAGGAGAGGAGGGTTCAGTTCATGCTCCGGCGGCTCCTTGGACTACTGTTGCTGCTGACGATGACTGAGGGAGGAGGGTTCGGTGCTCTGAAAGTCCCAGATCTGGGGCAAGCGGGACGGAGCTCTGCCCCGGGAGGGGAGGGACGACCTTGGCGGAGGTGGAGGTGGAGGGCAGCCAGGCCTTGCTCTTTCGCTGGAGGCAGATGGGACAGGGTCAGGAGGGCGAGGGCCACCTTTGCTAGGGGTCAATAAGGCCTCGGCCGGGCAGGCGTCCTCTTCCCTTAGTCGTCAGCAGCAGCAGCCAGGCATCCCTACATCGCGGATTTTCACTTATTGCGGGTGTTCCTGGAATGGAGCACTTGCGATAAGTGAGGGAACACTATATTATCATTATATATGTTACATGGGCATAACAACACACATGCACATTAGGGCCAAGTGTCTGGGATTCATCTCTGAATATGAGGCTCTTCCCAAGGGTCTAGGATATTAGAGATGATAATAATAATAATAGTAATAATAAATCTCCATTATTATTATATTTATTGCATGTACATAACAACACAGCACACATGCACATTAGAGGTCCAAGTGTCTGGGATTCTTCCCTGAATATATCAGACTCTTCCCAAGGGCCTAGGATATTAGAGATGATGATGATGATAAATCTCTATTATTATATTTATTACATGTACATAACAACACAGCACACATGCTCATTAGAGGTCCAAGTGTCTGGGATTCATCTCTGAATATCTGGCTCTTCCCAAGGGCCCGGATATTAGAGATGATGATAATAATAATAATAATAATAATAATAATAATAATAAATCTCTATTATTATTATTATATTTATTTCATGTACACAACAACACAATACATATGCACATTAGGTCCAAGTGTCTGTAATTCATCTCTGAATATCAGGCTCTTCCAAAGGGCCTAGGATATTAGAGATGATAATAATAATAAATATTATTATTATTATTATTATTATTATTATTATTATTATATTTATTACATGTACATAAGAACCCAACACACATGCACATTAGGTCCAAGTGTCTGGGATTCATCCCTGAATATCAGACTCTTCCCAAGGGCCGAGGATATTAGAGATGATAATAATAATAATAATAATAATAATAATAATAATAATAATAATAATATAGGATATTAGAGATGATGATGATGATGATAATAATTATAATAATAATAATATATCTCTATTATTATATTTATTACATGTACATAACAACACAGCACACATGCTCATTAGAGGCGCAAGTGTCTGGGATTCATCCCTGAATATCGGGCTTTTCCCAAGGGCCTAAGATATTAGTGGTGTTATTATTATTATTACTATTATTAGTAGTAGTATTGAGCCAGTTGCAGCCCTGACGCCTTCTCTCTCCCTTCCTGGCTGCAGTTTGTGGCTCTCATCGGGGCCCTCCTGGCCATCTGCTGCATGATCTTCTTGGGCTTCGCGGATGACGTGCTCAACCTGCGCTGGCGCCACAAGCTGCTCCTGCCCACCATGGCCTCCCTGCCCCTCCTCATGGTCTACTTCACCAACTTCGGGAACACCACCATCGTGGTGCCCAAGCCCTTCCGGATGTTTCTGGGCATGCACCTGGACCTGGGTAAGGCCTCCGCCGTATGGGGAGCGGCCCTGTCATTGTGATGTGCAAGGACACTCCCCATTGCCTCTGCACTCTTGACCATGGCAGGTGAAGCGGAAAGGAAACCAGGTGTGTTCCTCCCTCGCAGGCATCCTCTACTACGTCTACATGGGCATGCTGGCCGTGTTCTGCACCAACGCCATCAACATCCTGGCTGGGATCAACGGGCTGGAGGCCGGGCAGTCGCTGGTCATCGCGGCCTCGATTGTCACGTTCAACATGGTGGAGCTCAGCGGTGAGGAGGAGCGGATGGTCTCCGGGGGTTGATTGGCAGAGGGTTTCGCAAGATGATACTCATTGTTATACCTATATCACTTTCTGTTCCTGGTTTGAAAGTGTTATTTCCTGTTTAATTGTGCGGTGCTTACTCAGAAAAGCGTTCTTCTTCTCCAGAAACTTTGTTTTTGTGCCACAAACTATGTTGATTTTGTTTATTTATTTACAACATTGATATGCCACCCTTCTCACCCCGAAGGGGACTCAGAGCGGCTTACTATATATATATACACACACACACACACACACACACACACATACAATATATTATATTATTAGCATAGTACAATATCAGTATTATATTATTAGTAATATTACATGTAATATAAAATATATAATTATAATATTATTATTAGTAGTACTAGCCGTCCCCTGCCACATGTTGCTGTGGCCCAGTCTGTCTATATGTGTTTTGTGTGTGTATACACATGTGTGCATATATTTGTGTATTTGTGTGTTTATATGTGTACATGCATATTGTGTATATGCTTTTGAACTCAGAACTGTATGTGTGGCCCCTTTAAGGCATCTGTGTCTTGACAGTATATGTGTGTGCTTGTCTATATGCACATTTGTGTGTGCATGTGCATGTGTATATGTGTGTATGTATATGTATGTGTGTATATTTGTGTGTGTTTGTGCATATTTATTTATTTATTTACTTTACTTGTATACCGCAGTTTCTCAGCCCAACAGACGACTCAACGCAGTTTACAACAAGGATAAGAATCAATCAACGATATACAATTTAAAACCATAAAAGCATAATATACAATATTGACACAACAATAGACAACACAATGCATCTCATAACTAGAGTCATGATCCAATCCGTCGCCCAAATTTCCATTCCTGTAATCATCACATTCATTGCACTGTTTAACCGAATGCCCGTTCAAACATCCAAGTTTTTAATCTTCTTCGGAACACCATTAGCGAGGGGGCTGATCTTACCTCCATAGGAAGGGTGTTCCACAGCCGGGGGGCCACTACAGAAAAGGCCCTGTCTCTCGTCCCCGCCAGCCGCACCTGTGAAGCAGGCAGGATAGAGAGCAGGGCCTCCCCAGAAGATCTTAGGGTCCTGGCGGGCTGATAGGCAGAGATACGTTCGGATAGGTAACTTGGGCCAGAACATATATATATATGTGTGTGTGTATAAATGTGTGCATGTGCATATTATATGAGTGTATGTGTATATGTATATATGGTGTGGTTTTGGGGTTTTTAAGTCTGTTCTGCTGGGGCTGTGTGTGTGTGCATGTTTGTGTTTAGTGGGTGATGGACACTCCTTGGACTGTTGGGTGTCTTGTGTCCAAATGTTGTGTCAATTCGTTCAGTGGTTTTTGAGTTATGTTAATCCCACAAACGAACATTACATTTTTATTTATATAGATTATATTGCATTACATTATTATAAATATTATACGTATATACAATATATTATATTATATTATATTACATTATATTATATTATTATGTTATATTATATTATATTATATTATATTATATTATATTATATATGGTTGAGACTCGATGAGATACTCATTGAAGAACTATCGCAAAATGTCCTTACTGGCTGTTAGGAATTATGGGAGTTGGAGTCCAAAATTCCTGGAGGGCCCAAGCTTGCCATATGTATATACAATATATTATATTATTATGTTATATTATATGTGGTTGAGACTCGATGAGATACTCATTGAAGAACTATCGCAAAATGTCCCTACCGGCTGTTAGGAGTTGTGGGAGTTGGAGTCCAAAACGCCTGGAGGACCCAAGCTTGCCATATGTATATACAATATATTATATTATATTATAATGTTATATTATATTATATGTGGTTGAGATTAGATGACATACTCATTGAAGAACTATCACAAAATGTCCCTACCGGCTGTTAGGAATTATGGGAGTTGGAGTCCAAAATGCCTGGAGGGCCCAAGCTTGCCCCATATATTAAAAATCGATTAAGGACCCCATCCAATATCAGTTTCTTCCTTCCTTCCTTCCTCCCTGGCAGGGGATTACAGAGAGGACCACATCTTCTCCCTCTACTTCATGATGCCCTTCTTCTTCACCACGTTGGGGCTGCTCTACCACAACTGGTAAGTGACTCTGTGGACCCTCCTGAAGGGAAGAGGGGGCGATGGGGGTCCTTGCCGCCTCCTTCCCCTCTCCGCCTCTCCCTCGTGCGCAGGTACCCCTCCCGGGCGTTTGTGGGCGACACCTTCTGCTACTTTGCGGGCATGACCTTTGCCGTGGTGGGCATCCTGGGCCACTTCAGCAAGACCATGCTGCTCTTCTTCATCCCGCAAGTGCTCAACTTCCTCTACTCGCTGCCACAGCTCCTCCACATCATCCCTTGCCCACGCCACCGGTTGCCCAGGTAACTCGCAGTGACTCACCACCTTGCATTGAATCTGTTTGGAAAACAGCAGGTGTTGGATGCCAGCCTGGAATCATGAGGGAGGGCCATCTCCCAGGGAAAGGTGACATTTTCCTCTCTCAAGGTTGTGTTTCGCAGTCGTAAACGCTGCAAACCAGGCAACGTCATCTACGCAGCCAAGCGGATGCTGCAAACATGTCCTTCCTCAAATGGTGTCTTTGCCTGGGTTGCACATCCCATGCCTTGATTGGATTCTCCCAATTTGACTGGCATGACTTCTACTGCAGTGTTTCTCAACCTGGGGGTCGGGACCCCTGGGGGGGGGTCGCGAGGGGGTGCCAGAGGGGTCACCAAAGACCATCAGAAAACACAGAATTTTCTGTTGGTCATGGCAGTTCTGTGTGGGAAGTTTGGCCCAACTCTATCGTTGGTGGGGTTCATAATGCAATTTGATTGTAAATGAACTATAAATGCCAGCAACTACAACTCCCAAATGTCAAGTCTCATTTCGCCAAACTCCACCAGTGTTCACATTTAGACATATTGAGAATTCGTGCCAAGTTTGGTCCAGATCCATCATTGTTTGAGTCCACAGTGATCTCTGGATGTAGGTGAACTACAACTCCCAAACTCAAGGTCAATGCCCACCAAACCCTTCCAGTATTTTCTATTGGTAATGGGAGTTCTGTGTGCCAAGTTTGGTTCAATTCCATCGCTGGTGGAGTTCAGAATGCTCTTTGATTGTAGGTGAACTATAAATCCCAGCAACTATAACTCCCAAATGACAAAATCAACCCCATCAGTATTCAAATTTTGGGCATATTAGGTATTTGTTCCAAATTTGGTCCAGTGAATGAAAACACATCCTGTATACTGGATATTTACATTCCAATTCATAACAAGAGCAAAATTACAGTTATGAAGTAGCAACAAAATTAATGTGATGGTTGGGGGTCACCACAACATGAGGAACTGGATTAAGGGGTCGCGGCATTAGGAAGGTTGAGAAACACTGTTGGGTTGTGTCTATACTACCATGTTTCTTCAGTTGTAAGATGCACCCCAATTTCAGTACAACCATGAGAGAAGCCGCCCACAAGGATGTAAAAACATCAAAACATCTGAGCAACGTCCCCTGGGCAACGTCCTTGCAGACGGCCAATCCTCTCACACCAGAAGCGACTTGCAGTTTCTCAAGTAGCTTCTGTCATGGAAAATAATAATAATGATGATGATGATGGATTGTTGTAGGATTTTTCGGGCTATATGGCCATGTTCTAGAGGCATTCTCTCCTGATGTTTTGCCTGCATCTATGGCAAGCATCCTCAGAGGTAGTCTAATAATAATAATAATAATAATAATAATAAATCTGTAGAAAGACCAGGGTGGGACAAAGGACTCTTGTCTGCTGGAGCTGCATGTGAATGTTTAAACTGACCACCTTGATTAGCAGCATTGCCCAGACACGAATCAAGGAACATGAAAGGCACTGCAGACTACTTCCACCAGAGAAGTCAGCCATAGCAGAGCACCTGAGGAACCAGCCTGGACACAGCATATCATTTGAGAACACAGAAATGCTGGACCACACCAACAACCACCATGTCAGACTACACAGAGAAGCCACTGAAATCCACAAGCATGTGGACAATTTCAACAGGAAGAAGGAAACCATGAAAATGAACAAAATCTGGCTACCAGTATTAAAAAACTCTAAAATGAGAACAGCACAACAACAGAGAGGAAACAAATAAGGACGTCTAATCACCTCTCAACAAAAGATTGCTCCAGGCACTTCCAGGCAATCAAATGCTAATCAGGGTGGTCAGTTGAAACATTCACACCTGGCTCCAGCAGTCAAGAGTCCTCTGTCCCACCCTGGTCATTCCACAGATATATAAACCCTTTTTCCTAGTTTCCAACAGACCGCACTACCTCTGAGGATGCTTGCCATAGATGCAGGCGAAACGTCAGGAGAGAATGCCTCTAGACCATGGCCATATAGCCCGAAAAAACCTACAACAACCCAGTGATTCCGGCCATGAAAGCCTTCGACAATACAATAATAAACTTTATTTGTACCCCGCCACCATCTCCCCAAAGGGGACTCGGGGCGGCTAACATGAGGCCCAGCCCAAGAATTACAAGACAGCAAAGTAAAATACAGCAAACAGATAATAAACATTCAAATAAAATGTAAACAAAAACAAATATACAATAAACAAACGTAAAATAAAATAGTGGGGGAATAAAACCACATTGGGAGGGCCAAATGCTTAGAAACAAAGATATACATCCTTCCTTACTCCCCCCCTCCCTCCCCTCCCAAGATACAAAATGGGGGACAATGCCTGGCTTGAGAGCAGTACATGTGAAAAAGATCTTGGAGCCCTCGTGGACAGGAAGGCGAACATGAGCCAGGATGTGATGTGGCGGCAAAAAAAGCCAATGGGATTTTGGCCTGCATCAAGAGGAGCCTAGTGTCTAGATCTAGGGAAGTCATGCTCCCCATGCTGTATTCCGCTTTGGTTAGACCACTTTACCTGGAATCACATTGTGTTCAATTCTGGGCACCACAATTCAAGAGAAAGATTGACAAGCTGGAATGTGTCCAGAGGAGGGCGACTCAAAGGATCAAGGGTATGGAGAACAAGCCCTATGAGGAGCAGCTTAAGGAGCTGGGCATGTTTAGCTTGAAGAAGAGAAGGCTGAGAGGAGATATGATAGCCATGTATAAATATGTGAGAGGAAGCCACAGGGAGGAGGGAGCAAGCTTGTTTTCTGCTTCCCTGGAGACTAGGACGCAATGGAACAATGGCTTCAAACTACAAGAGAGGAGATTCCATCTGAACACAAGGAAGAACTTCCTGACTGTGAGAGCTGTTCAGCAGTGGAACTCTCTGCCCCGGAGTGTGGTGGAGGCTCATTCTTTGAAAGCTTTTAAGCAGAGGCTGTATGGCCATCTGTCAGGGGTGCTTTGAGTGCAATATTCCTGCTTCTTGGCAGAATGGGGTTGGACGGGATGGCCCAGGAGGTCTCTTCCAACTCTTGGATTCTATGATTCTATACAGTATATTATTTTCTTGGCTGATTGGAGGTGTTTTTGCCATTAGGTTCAACCCCGGCACAGGAAAACTAGAGATGAGCTACTCCAGATTCAAGCCAAAAAGCCTCTCTGCTTTGGGAAAGCACATCCTCAAGGTAATGCTGTGGAACCAGGACGCGGGGGGAGAAAGGGTTGTGCATTCTCTTGGGTGAGGCTCAAGTGGAAGTCAAGGCTTGATCTCTGCCATAACATTAGATCTGATGGAAGAGATCCCACCACTAAACGTGCGGTCAGCATTTAAGACACAGCTGAGACCCATCTCTTCTGGCAGGCCAACCAAGTCAACACTGAATCATGAATTTTGGATTGGCATTCTGTTGCCGTATGTGGATCTGTGTTTTGGTGTATGTATTTTATAATGGTGGTTTAACCCCGGTAACGCAGGGGGTTAAACCGCAGAGCTGCGGAACTTGTTGACTAAAAGGTTGGCGGTTGGAATCCGTGGAGTGGGGTGAGCTCCCGCTGGTAGCCCCAGCTCCTGCCAACCTAGCAGTTCGAAAACATGCAAATGTTAGTAGATCAATAGGTACTGCTTATGTGGGAAGATAATGGTGCTCCATTCTGCTCTGAGATCAGAGTGAAGAGAGGGGCCAGGAAGGTAGTTCCATCTTGTCTCCTGCACTGTGCTTCTAATCTAATCTAATTTAATGTATATACAGCTAATATTGAAAATATTATAATGTAATACAATATATTGCTAATAATAATAAAATGATATTATATATATATATAGTAATATTACTAATAATATTACAGTATAGTGGTATAGTACAATGTAATATATAATATTAATATTGTGCTATGGTAATAATATAATATATTGTATTACGTTTTACCCTAAGGCGCTCTGAGTCCCCTTTGAGGTGAGAAGGGCGGCATTACTTAGGCGATCCCTCATTGGCCGAGTAGGATAGTCTTCCAGGATCAGTATTCTTGTGGATCCGTAGGTGGCTGTGGAGCCCCATTCTTGACCTGCATCTTCTCCCTTCCGCAGTGAGGGCATTGGTTTCCAGGTGGGAGGCGGTCTCAGTCAGGGTTGGCTTGACGCGCCTTCCTCTTGGCACGTTTCTCTCTTTCACGCTCCATTCGTGCCTCTTCAAATTCTGCAGCACTGCTGGTCACAGCTGAACTCCAGCTGGAGTGCTCAAGGGCCAGGGCTCCCCAGTTCTCAGTGTCTATGCCAGAGTTTCTAAGGTTGGCTTTGAGCCCCTCTTTGAATCTCTTTTCCTGCCCACCAACATTCTGTTTTCCGTTCTTGAGTTCGGAGTAGAGCAACTGCTTTGGGAGATGGTGGTCAGGCGTCCGGACAATGTGGCCGGTCCAGCGGAGTTGATGGTGGAGGACCATCGCTTCAGTTCTGGTGGTCTTTGATTCTTCCAGCACGCTGGCCTTGGTCCGTTTGTCTTCCCAAGAGATTTGCAGGATTTTCCGGAGGCAGCGCTGATGGAATCGTTCCAGGAGTGGCATGTGGCGCCTGTAGACAGTCCACGTCTCGCAGGCATAGAGCAGGGTTGGGAGGACAATGGCTATACAAACAAGCCCCTTGGTCTCCCTACGGATGGCCTGGTCCTCAAATACTCTCTGCTTCATTCAGAAAAATGCTGCACTCGCAGAGCTCAGGTGGTGTTGTATTTCAGTCTTACTGTTGATGTCTGTAGACAGTCCATGTTTCGCAGGCGTAGAGCAGGGTTTGGAGGGCAATGGCTTTATGAACAAAACCCTTGGTCTCCCTACGGATGTCCCGCTCCTCAAACACTCTCTGCTTCATTCGGAAAAATACTGCACTCGCAGAGCTCAGGCGGTGTTGTATTTCAGTGTCGATGTTGACTTTGGTGGAGAGGTGGCTGCCAAGGTAGCAGAAAGTGTCCACATTTTCTAATGTGACACCATTAAGCTGTATCTCTGGCATTGGGGAGGGGATGGCTGGTGACTGCTGGAACAGCACTTTGGTTTTCTCAATGTTCAATGACAGGCCGAGCTTCTCGTATGCTTCTGCGAAGGTGTTTAGAGTGGCTTGTAGATCTTCTTCTGAATGCGCACAGACAATGTTGTCATCAGCATACTGGAGTTCTATAACAGATGTTGTTGTGACCTTGGTTTTGGCTTTCAGTCTGCTGAGGTTGAATAGCTTGCCATCTGTCCGATAGATGATTTCCACTCCCATCAACAAGGTGAAGTATCATAGCGATGAAGATGGAGAATAAAGGCAGCATATAAATGTAAATAAATAAATAAAGCAGTTATGCCAGTGACTACATGACCTTGGAGGTGTCTATGGACAATGTTGGCTTTTCGGCTTAGAAATGGAGATGAGTCCCAGACATGATTGGACTTCATGTCAGGGGAAAACCGTTACCTTTTACTATGTTTTGATATACGCATTCTGGTGTATGTATTTCATATTGACATGTTTTGACTGTCGTTCCCTGCCTGGAGCCACTAAGAGAGCAGATCACAAATCAAATTTATTATTAATTATTATTACTATTATATTCTTCCCAGGTGTCTGAGAAACTCCGCCTGGTGGACGTACGCCAGGGAGTGGACAAAGACGGGGAATACCTGGAATGCAACAACATGACGCTCATTAACTTCGTGATAAAGCTAATAGGGCCGACGGCAGAGAGAAACCTGACAGTGCTGCTGTTGCTGATGCAGGTAAGGCGCTTTTGAAGGACGGGGCCGCTCTTTCCTCAAAGGTCAAACCCACCGTTGCTGTTCACCCTTGAGTCCTTGGGTGGCGGCCAGTCCCTGTTGTCTTTCTTCCTCAGGTGATGGGGAGCGTCGTCGCCTTCTCCGTCCGGTACCAACTGGTGCGGTTGTTCTACGACGTCTGAGCTTGGCTTCGGGAGCCAGCCAGTCTCTTCTCCTTCCCTTTCTTCCCCAAACGGTTCTTGCCTTTCAAGGCCTTGCAAGAGGCGAAGCTACCCTCGGTTTTCGCAGCCGGGACTTCTACTCGTATTGCAGGAGCTGCGCTGTTTGTGGCCACAGCCTCCCATCTCTGTCCACAGAAAGCCTGATCTCATGGGGATTGGAGGGGAAGGTGCTGACGTTGCACAGAAGCGCATGGAAGCGGGACGGCCTTTCTCTCCTGCTCCCGGCACTTTGCCAACCACTGCCTTGAATGCACAAGGAACAGTAATAAATTAAAAATGACTTTGTCCCAAATGAGTGGACGCAAAGCTTCAAAGGGCAATGGGAAGTGTGGAGAAGGGGGGCCATGTTGTTCCCATGCTGCTCTTTTCTTCTGAAGGCCTTCCTCGGAGACCCTCTGAGGAAGGACCCTTTGGAGCGGTGCTTCTCTTTACCGCCGTTTGGTGCGTGGCTGAAGCCTTTCTTGGGAGGGAAAGAGGAGGCCAAGCAGTCAATGCACTTTGAGGGTGGAATCCGGCCTCTGAGGGACGCATTGGGCGGGAATGGGGAGGAATACGGAGAGCAAAGGGCCCTGCCTGTCCACTAAGAGGGAGAGCAGGGTGAGAGGCTGTGTAATAAAGCCATGGAGTAATGAACGGAAAGAGAAGGTCTCCTTCTTGCAGGGAAACAAGCTAACCAGCAACAGCACGCACTCTACTACTCGCCAGCACGCACTCTACTACTGACCAGCACGCACTCTGCTACTGACCAGCACACTCTACTACTCACTAACACGCACTCTGCTACTGAACAGCACATTCTACTACTCACTAACACGCACTCTGCTACTCACTAACATGCACTCTGCTACTGACCAGCACGCACTCTACTGACCAGCACACACTACTACATACCTGCACACACTCTACTACTGACTAGCATGCACTCTACTACTGACCATCACGTACTGTACTACTTAGCAGCACACATTCTACTACTGTCCATTATGTACTCTACTACTGACCATCACATATTCTACTGACCATCATGCATTCTACTACTGACCCGCACACACTCTACTACTGACCCATACTCTCTACTATTCATCCGCACACACTCTACTACTCACCAGCATGCACTCTACTACTAACCGTCATGTACTTTACTACTGACCATCCCATATTCTGCTGACCCGCACACACTCTACTACTGACCCGCACACACTCTTCTTCTGACCCATACGCACTTTACTATTCATCTGCACACACTCTACTACTCACCAGCATGCACTCTACTACTGACCATCACATATTCTACTGACCACCATGCATTCTACTACTGACCCACACACACTCTACTACTGACCCACACACACTCTACTACTGACCCATACACACTCTACTATTCATCCGCACACACTCTACTACTCACCAGCATGCACTCTACTACTGACCATCGTGTACTTTACTACTGACCATCACATATTCTACTGGCCATCATGCATTCTACTGACCCGCACACACTCTTCTTCTGACCCATACGCACTCTACTATTCATCCGCACACACTCTACTACTGACCAGCATGTACTGAACTACTCAGCAGCACACATTCTACTACTGACCATCACGTACTCTAATCACCATCATGCACTCTCCTACTCAGCAGCATGGATTCTACTACTGACCAACAAGTACTCTAGTCACCCGCACACACTCTACCACTCCCCAGCTTAACCCCCCCCCCCCTTGCATGACAAATCCTCCTGTCCACTGCTCATTAACCTCTACTGAAAATGCAGGTATTTTTGTAAGCTTTTTAAAAAAGGCCTAAACCCTAAAACCCAGCTGTGACACAGACAGAAGATGCTGCTTGGTGAGTTCCCATTCCCTCCTGGCAAAGAGGAGAAAGTGTTAGAATGGACGGGAGTCACTCAAAGGGGCTTGAGAGGGCGGTCACAAGGGCCCCCCCCCCCCGTTTGTTTATTGATTGAGGGCTGCTCCATGTCTGGATCCTGCTGCCCAGAGCCCTGCTCACACCTTCCAGACTCAGGACCAAGCTTCACCCACGGCATTCTGATTCCACCAATCCCTGCATTTCGAATTTGGCGCGCTGCTTCCCCATTGGCTAATAGGAGCGAAGGGCGGAGGCAGCACCGTCCAATGGGGAGCCAGAAAGCGATCTGCTAAGAGAAGCAGCGGCGTGGGATTTGCCATTCACTAATTTGGCGCGCTACTTCCCCATTGGCTGCGGGAGCCAGGGGGAGGAAGGGGAAGCGTCGGCAGAGCCAATGGGAGCGAGGGGGCGGGGCCTGCGCCATCCAACGGGGAGCCAGAGCGAGGTTTGCTATTAAAAGTAGCCGGCGTGGAATTTGGCGTTCACTAATTTGGCGCGCTACTTCCCTATTGGCTGCGGATGCCAAAGGAGGAGGGGGAAGCGTCAGCAGAACAAATGGGAGTGAGGGAGAGGGTTCTGCACCGTCCAATGGGGAGACAGAAAGCGGTTTGCTGTTAAAAGTAGCTGGTGTGGAACTAGTTTGTCGCGCTGCTTCCCTATTGGCTGCGGATGCCAAAGGAGGGGGGGAAGCGTCGGCAGAACCAATGGAAGAGAGGGGGCGGGAACTTTACCGTCCAATGAGGAGCCAGAAAGCGGTTTGCTGTTAAAAGCAGCTGGTGTGGAACTAGTTTGTCGCGCTGCTTCCCCATTGGCTGTGGATGCGAAGGGAGGAAGGGGAAGCGTCGGCAGAACCAATAGGAGCGAGGGGGCGGGGTGTGCACCGTCCAATGGGGAGCCCGAGAGCGGTTTGCTGTTAAAAGTAGCCGGCGTGGAATGTGGCGTTCAATAATTTGGCGCGCTACTCCCCTATTGGCTGCGGATGCCAAAGGAGGAGGGGGAAGCGTCGGCAGAACCAATGGAAGAGAGGGGGCGGGATCTTCACCGTCCAATGAGGAGACAGAAAGCGGTCTGCTATTAAAAGCAGCTGATGTGGAACTAGTTTGGCGCGCTGCTTCCCTATTGGCTGGTCTACAGGAGAAACGCCAGCTCGACCAATGGGAGCACGGGGCGGGGCCTGCGCGGTCCAATGGGGAGGCGGCGCGGGCTGGTATAAAAGCAGTTTGCGCGGGCTTTGCCCCTCACTGGCCTGAGGGAAGTCTTAGTGATGGCATCACGCGCGCTAGGGAAGCCGAGGTCGGGCTCTTCGCGGGCGGGGCTGCAGTTCCCGGTGGGGCGCGTGGGGCGCCTGCTGAGGCGCGGTCGGTACGCGGAGCGCGTGGGCTCGGGGGCGGCGGTGTACCTGGCGGCGGTGCTGGAGTACCTGGCGGCGGAGCTGCTGGAATTGGCCGGGGAGGCGGCGCGCGCCCACAGGAAGGCCCGCATCGCCCCGCGGCACCTGGCCCTGGCCGCCCGCAACGACGAGGAGCTGGCCCGCCTCCTCCGCACCGTCACCTTCGCCCAGGGAGGCGTCCCCCCGCACCTCCACGCCGCACTCCTGCCCGCCGCCGGGAAGAAGAAGAAGAAGCAGGAAGGCGAGAAGGCGGGGAAGAAGGAGGAGGGGAAGCACGCCAGCCAGGCCTCGCAGGAGTACTAGGCCCAAGGACGCGACTTCATCAACTTCCGGTCATTCAGTCAAGGCTTCTCTTGTTTTGGTTTTGGAACACCGGAAGTCGAGTGGCGGAGTACACTTCCGGGTGAAAGGACTTGGCGCAGCTTTGCATCAACTTCCGGTCAGTCATTCAAGGCTTTTATTTGGTTTTGGAACACCGGAAGTCGAGTGGAGTACACTTCCGGGTCAAAGGACTTGGTGCAGGTTTTCATTCATTCAAGGCTTGTCTTTATTTGTTGTTTTGGTTTTGGAACACCGGAAATCGAGATGCGGAGTACACTTCCGGATGGAAGGACTGCACTCAGCTCGTTCATTCATTCCAGGATTCTGTTTTTCTAAACCTCGAGTATTAGGACACTTCTTGGCCTCTCGCTGTGGACACTTCCGGTGAAAGGGCTGGACTGCCTTTTAGGACTTTTTCTCTTTCTCTCTTCATTTCATTAAAGTTTTCTTTAGTTATTTAAACGTCTAAAGTGGAGTTGTGTTCGATTTGTGATGGGTGGGGAGGTCACTTCCGGTTCCGTTGACAGGCTGTAATGGGAGTACAAACTTTCCTTTGCGGGGAGGAGGACTGGGGGCTCTATATATCAAAACATACCATTTTAAAACACATACACCAAATCACAGATCAATATACATTGGCATGCTTTCAAACTGCTAGGTTGGCAGAAGCTGGGGCAGACAGCAGGAGTTCACGCCGCTCCCCAGATTCAAACCTGAACCTTTTGGTTAGCAAGTTAAGTAGTTCAGTGCTTTAACCCACTGCACCATATAGCACAACATATCATATAATACTAATATATTGCTTGTTCATTCGTTCAGTCGTCTCCGACTCTTTGTGACCTCATGGACCAGCCCACGCCAGAGCTCCCTGTCGGCCATCACCACCCCCAGCTCCTTCAAGGTCAGTCCAGTCACTTCAAGGATGCCATCCATCCATCTTGCCCTTGGTCGGCCCCTCTTCCTTTTGCCTTCCACTTTCCCCAGCATCATTCCCTTCTCTAGGCTTTGCTGTCTCCTCATGATGTGGCCAAAGGACTTCAGCTTTGCCTCTAGTCTCCTTCCCTCCAGTGAGCAGCCGGGCTTTCTTTCCTGGAGGATGGACTGGTTGGATCTTCTCGCAGTCCAAGGCACTCTCAGAACTTTCCTCCAACACCACAGCTCAAAAGCATCGATCTTCCTTCGCTCAGCCTTCCCTAAGGTCCAGCTCTCTCATCCGTAGGTGACTACAGGGAATACCATGGCTTTGACTAGGCAATGGATCTTTGTTGCCAGTCTGATGTCTCTACTCTTCACTATTTTATCGAGATTGGACATTGCTCTCCTCCCAAGAAGGAAGCGTCTCCTGATTTCCTGGCCACAGTCTGCATCTGCAGTCATTTTTGCACCTAGAAATACAAAGTCTGTCACGGCCTCCACGGTTTCTCCCTCTATTTCCCAGTTGTCAATCATTCTTGTTGCCATAATCTTGGTTTTTTTGGACTTAATTTCCCAGAAATTACCTTGCAAGCCGCTGAGTCCCCTACGGAGTGAGAAGGGCAGCATATAAATGTAAATAAATACATAATATTCTAGATCAGTGGTTCTCCACCTGGGGTCCCCAGATGGTTTTGGCCTTCAACTCCCAGAAATCCTAACAGCTGGTAAACTGGCTGGGATTTCTGGGAGTTGTAGGCCAAAAACATCTCGGGACCCCAGGCTGAGAACCACTGGCCTAGAATATTATGTATTTATTTACATTTATATGCTGCCCTTCTCACCCCGTAGGGGACTCAGTGGCTTAGAACAGGGTATAGGGTTACAGCCTGTGCTGGACGGGGTCGCACTCCCCTTGAAGGCGCAGGTTCGCAGCTTGGGTGTTACCCTGGACTCATCGCTGAGCCTGGAGCCCCAGGTTTCAGAGGTGACCAGGGGAGCATTTGCACAGCTTAGGCTCGTGCGCCAGCTGCGCCCGTATCTTGGGAAGTCTGACTTGGCCACGGTGGTACACGCTTGGTCACATCCCGCCTCGACTACTGCAACGCTCTCTACGTGGGGCTGCCCTTGAAGACGGTCCGGAAGCTCCAGCTGGTCCAGCGCGCGGCAGCCATGTTGTTAACGGGAGCTGGACGCAGAGAGCATACAACGCCCCTGCTGTCCCAGCTCCACTGGCTGCCGATCCGCTACCGGGCCCAATTTAAGGTGCTGGTGTTATCCTACAAAGCCCTAAACGGTTCCGGCCCAAAATACCTTGCAGACCGCATCTCGGCCTATCAGCCCACGAGGGCCTTGAGATCATCCGGGGAGGCCCTTCTCTCGGTCCCGCCTGCCTCACAGGCACGTCTGGCGGGGACGAGAGAGCGGGCCTTCTCGGTGGTGGCCCCCCGGCTGTGGAACCCCTCCCCGCTGAAATTAGACAGGCGCCCTCTTTGTTGGCCTTTCGTAGGGGCCTGAAAACATGGCTCTTCGAGCAGGCCTTCAATTGAGTATAGTGGAATGACAATGGAATGAACTAATGACTACGAATTTTGGCTATGACCCCAGGACTCGACGAAGCGGATTTTTAGTATAAGTATATGTTTGTTGTATCTGTCTGGTTAGTATCGTCTCAGCTTACTGTACACTGTCTTCTGTGTTGTTGTTCACCGCCCCGAGTCGCCTTCGGGCTGAGAGGGGCGGTCAATAAATGCAAGAAATAAATAAAATAAATAAATAAATAAATAATATATACATACAATATATCATCATTACACAATATTATTATATATTGGAGCCCCCGGTGGCGCAGTGGGTCAACCCCCTGTGCCGGCAGGACTGAAGACCGACAGGTCGTAGGCTCGAATCCGGGGAGAGCCGGATGAGCTCCCTCTATCAGCTCCAGCTCCTCATGGGGACATGAGAGAAGCCTCCCACAAGGATAATAAAAACATCAAATCATCCAGGTGTCCCCTGGGCAACGTCCTTGCAGATGGCCAATTCTCTCACACCAGAAGCGACTTGAAGTTTCTCAAGTTGCTCCTGACATGACTATATATATATATATATATATATATACACACACACACCGTCCCCTGCCACGTGTTGCTATGGCCCACATGGCCTTTCTGTGTGGGAGGTCTGGGCCAACTCTAACACTGCCCACCAAACCCTTCCAGTATTTTCTGTTGGTCATGGGGGTTCTGTGTGAGAAGTTTGCCCCAATTCTGTCATTTGTGAGGTTCAGAATGCTCTTTGATTGTAGGTGAACTATAAATTACAGCAACTATAACTCCCAAATGTCAAGGTCTATTTTCCCCAAATTCCATCTGTGTTTATATTGGGGCATATGGAATATTTGTGCCAAGTTTGGTCCAGATCCATCATTGTTTGAGTCCACAGTGCTCTCTGGATATAGGTGAACTACAAGTCCCAAACTCAAGGTCAATGCCCACCAAACCCTTCCAGTATTCTCTGTTTGCCATTGGAGCTCTGTGTGCCAAGATTGGTTCAATTCCATCATTGGTGGAGTTCAGAATGCTCTTTGATTGTAGGTGAACTATAAATCCCAGCAACTACAACTCCCAAATGACAAAATCAATTTTTATGATTTTGATTACCTTCACCCAGCCCATCACTGCCTCCAGGCTTTGGTTCAGGCACAACAGGCCTTGCTTGGCATCATCTGCTGAAAAGCAGTGTTCCCATTACTTCCAACTTACAAGGATTTAATGTATTGTCGAAGGCCTTCATGGCCGGAATCACTGGGTTGTTGTCGGTTTTTTCGGGCTCTATGGCCATGTTCTAGAGGCATTCTCTCCTGACGTTTCGCCTGCATCTATGGCAAGCATCCTCAGAGGTAGTGAGGTCTGTTGGAACTAGGAAAAAGGGTTTATATATATCTGGAAGGACCAGGGTGGGACAAAGGACTCCTCTCTGTTGTGGTGTTGTAATTTTAGAGTTTCAAGGATTTATTTGGATCTGGAGGCTGAGAGAGTGTAACTTGCCAGGGCTGCTTTGGCTCTGTTTGGACATCCAATAAAGGCCTCGACTGACTGCCGCTCTCTATCATAAATCTCTTTAATCGTTTATATATATATATATATTATGCACCTGCATACATTAAGACACTTGATTCTATGCAATAAGCCCTCCCTTGGTTGCCTTCATTTTTAAAAAAAAATTCAAATGGAAGCCTGCGGTGGGATCTTCAAAGGCACCGACCAGTTAAATGCTGGACTACAACACCCAGCATCCCTCCTCAGCCTTGACCCCGCGGGGCGGGCGCTGCAGTCCCACCACCCTCAGGGTGCTGTGATGCCTTGAGATCCAGAGGCAATGGGGGCGCATTGCCAAGCCGTGAAGGGCCTCAGGCGGCGTTGAGTTGCCGGGCGGCGTCCAGGATGGGCCGGGCCCCTTGGCTCAGCAGCAGTGAGGCCAGGTCCAGGCCCAGCTTCTCGGCCGCCGCTTGCGCCGCGCGAGGCTCCGTCCGGGCCGTGATGCCCAGGCGCTGGACGTCGTCGTCGGGACCCTCTTCGTCCTGAGAAAATGAAACAAGACATAGACGCATAGATGAAAACACGCACACATAAGATCAAAACACATGTCAACATTATTCATCCCAATACAATGTCCATTTCACATTCAATGCCGGGACAAGAATTCATGAGTATGCATAAACATTAAAAACATTTGTCAAAATATTAAGATACACCATTTAAACAGTCATTGGTCATCCGCATCAAATCTAATATTTTGGCCTGGTCATCTTTCCTATTGCTGCTGTATTGCCCTGTCCCAAAAGTTTGGTCCCACAGCCAAGTTTTGACCATCCTCCTAAGGGACAGGAGAGAGGGGGCCGACCTGATCTCACCAGGAAGGGAGTTCCATAGCTGGGGAGCCATCACCGAGAAGGCCCTGTCTCTCGTCCCCACCAATTGTGGCTGTGACAATCAAAGAATCCTAAAATCAAAGAGTTGGAAGAGACCTCGTGGGCCATCCAGTCCAACCCCGTTCTGCCAAGAAGCAGGAATATTGCATTCAAATCACCCCTGACAGATGGCCATCCAGCCTCTGCTTAAAAGGTTTCAAAGAAGGAGCCTCCACCACACTCCGGGGCAGAGAGTTCCACTGCTGAACAGCTCTCACAGTCAGGAAGTTTTTCCTCGTGTTCAGATGGAATCTCCTCTCTTGTAGTTTGAAGCCATTGTTCCGCGTCCTAGTCTCCATGGAAGCAGAAAACAAGCTTGCTCCCTCCTCCCTGTGGCTTCCTCTCACATATTTATACATGGCTATCATATCTCTCTCAGCCTTCTCTTCTTCAGGCTAAACATGCCCAGCTCCTTAAGCCGCTCCTCATAGGGCTTGTTCTCCAGACCCTTGATCATTTTAGTCACCCTCCTCTGGACACATTCCAGCTTGTCAATATCTCTCTTGAATTGTGGTGCCCAGAATTGGACACAATATTCCAGGTGTGGTCTAACCAAAGAGGAATAGAGGGGTAGCATTACTTCCCTAGATCTAGACACTATCTCCTATTGATGCAGGCCAAAATCCCATTGGCTTTTTTTGCTGCCACATCACATTGTTAGCTCATGGGTAACTTGTTGTCCACGAGGCGGAACGGAAAGCAGAGCCTCCCCGGAGAATCTTAATCTCCGCGATGGTTCATAGGGGGAGATGCATTCGGATAGGTCAATTGGCCCAGGGCCGTTTAGGGCTTGATAGACCAAAGCCAGCATTTTGAATTATGCCCGGTAGCAAACTGGCAGCCAGTGGAGCTGGCGTAACATGGGAGTTGCATGCTCCCTGTATGCCGCCCCAGTTATTAACCTGGCCACCTCTCGTTGGACTATTTGAAGCTTCCAAACCGTCTTCAAGGGTAACCCCACGTAGAGAGAGTTGCAGTAGTCTATCCTTGATGTAACAAGAGTGTGGACCACCATAGTCTACATTCACACAAAACATGTAGATGGCTTTCATGGCCGGAATCACTGGGTTGTAGGTTTTTTTCGGGCTATATGGCCATGTTCTAGAGCAGGGGTCCTCAAACTAAGGCCCGGGTGCCGGATGTGGCCCTCCAAGGTCATTTACCCGGCCTGCGTTCAGGGTCAACCTAAGTCTGAAATGAGTTGAAAGCACACAACAATAACAACAATCATCTCATCAGCCAAAAGCAGACCCACACTTCCCATTGAAATACTAATAATTTTATTTTTATTGAAATTGTTCTTCATTTTAATTATTGTATTGTTTTTAAGTGTTTTTTGCACTACTAATAAGATATGTGCTGTGTGCATAGGAATTCATTCATGTTTTTTTTCAATTATAATCCGGCCCTCCAACAGTTTGAGGAACGGTGACCTGGCCCTCTGTTTAAAAAGTTTGAGGACCCCTGTTCTAGAGGCATTCCCTCCTGATGTTTCGCCTGCATCTATGGCAAGCATCCTCAGAGGTAGTGAGGTCTGTTGGAACTAGGAAAATGGGTTTATATATCTGTGGAATGACCAGGGTGGGACAAAGGACTCTTGTCTGCTGGAGCTAGGTGTGAATGTTTCAGCTGACCACCTTGATTAGCATTTGATTGCCTGACAGTGCCTGGAGCAAACTTTTGTTGAGAGGTGATTAGATGTCCTTGTTTGTTTCCTCTCTGTTGTTGTGCTGTTGTAATTTTAGAGTGGTCAGTTGAAACATTCACACCTAGCTCCAGCAGACAAGAGTCCTTTGTCCCACCCTGGTCATTCCACAGATATATAAACCCATTTTCCTAGTTCCAACAGACCTCACAACCTCTGAGGATGCTTGCCATAGATGCAGGTGAAACATCAGGAGAGAATGCCTCTAGAACATGGCCATATAGCCCGAAAAAACCCACAAGAACCCATGTAGACTCTTAGCTTACATTCAAAGCAATTTTTAAATTATTGATTGATGTATATCCCGCTTTATCTCTCCCTACGGAGACTCAAAGCGGCTCACAATAAAAAACATTACAACTTCAAATACACAATAATAAAATAGCATATAATATATTATCAGTATCACAATGGAAGAAATGCAGCAATAACAACACAGGCAGCAACAACTTCTACTCTTACTATTTAATTTCTTACCTGCCTTAGTTGAAATGCATAAATAAAAAGACACATATATTAAGAGGCAGAGATGAAAAGACACGCACGTATTTACATTATTCATACTAATAAAATGTCAGTTTGACATTCATACATCAGAATGGACTGGGTCGGCCTGCTGAGCAAGACAGGTCTTTAATGCCTTCCAGCAGGTCTTTCCAGAGCCTATGGGCACCCCATGGGAAAGTCCTTTGTGTGTGTGTGTGTGTGTATAGATAGATAGAATGTGCGTATGTATATATATATATACACACACACATACACAATAAAAGTGAAAATATGTATCAACATGTTCTTGTTTTTACTTACACACACATAATAAAAGTGAAAATATGAATCAAAATGGTCTTGTTTTGACTTACATACACACACACATACACAATAAAAGTAAAAATGTGTATCAAAATGGTCTTGTTTTGACTTACACACATACATACACAATAAAAGTAAAAATATGTATCAAAATGGTCTTGTTTTGACTTACACACATACATACACAATAAAAGTAAAAATATGTATCAAAATGGTCTTGTTTTGACTTACACACATACATACACATTAAAAGTAAAAATGTGTATCAAAATGGTCTTGTTTTGACTTACACACATACATACACATTAAAAGTAAAAATATGTATCAAAATGGTCTTGTTTTGACTTACACACATACATACACATTAAAAGTAAAAATATGTATCAAAATGGTCTTGTTTTGACTTACACACATACATACACAATAAAAGTAAAAATATATATCAAAATGGTCTTGTTTTGACTTACACACATACATACACAATAAAAGTAAAAATATATATCAAAATGGTCTTGTTTTGACTTACATATACACGTACATACACAATAAAAGTGAAATTATGTATCAAAATGGTCTTGTTTTGACTTACATATACACATACTTACATAATAAAAGTGAAATTATGTATCAAAATGGTCTTGTTTTGACTTACATACAAATTCAACTTAAGAACAAACCTACAGAGCCTATCTTGTTCATAACTTGGGGGCTGACTGCATAGAATAGAATACTAGGAGCAGGAAAATGCTTGGTTTAAAAGCATCAGGAAAGCCAGAAATGTATTGACAAGGAAGGATTTAGGGGTTTGGATGGATGAAGTCAATCCCCCCTCAGTCTTGGGCAAGTCACACCCTCTCAGCCTGAAGGGAAGGCCAAAGCCAACCAGTCTTGCCAAGGTGGTGTCCTTGTCTGCCTTCCTCTGAGTCAGAGAGTGAGTTGCCCAAACCATTTCCTTTTTTTAGGAGGGAAGCACTCACCTCCATTGGGAATTTCACGTTTGTCTGCATGGTCTCGCACAAGCTCTCCGATCCGTCGAGGCTGTAGACGGCTCCGGTCAAGTATAACTAGGGAAAGCCAAGCAGAGGGGGGCTGATGCAGGGAGAGGCAAGGGACACACGCTGGGAGGACCAGAGAGGGAGTGGACAAGGACCGGCAAAAGGCCCTCCCCATCACCAGCTAGCTGCAGCCACTGACCAGGCTGCCCCATTATTATTATCATTCATTATTAATTAAAGAATAAATTATTATTATTATTATTATTATTATTATTATTATTATTATTATTATTATTCACCACTAGCTGCAACCACTGACCAGGCTGCTCCATTATTATTATCATTCATTATTAATTAAAGAATAAATTATTATTATTATTATTATTATTATTATTATTATTATTATTATTATTATTCACCACTAGCTGCAACCACTGACCAGGCTGCTCCATTATTATTATCATTCATTATTAATTAAAGAATAAATTATTATTATTATTATTATTATTATTATTATTATTATTATTATTATTCACCACTAGCTGCAACCACTGACCAGGCTGCTCCATTATTATTATTACTCATTATTTATTATTATTATTAATTCATTATTAATATTATTCACCACTACCTGCAGTGACTGACCAGACTGCCCCAATTCTCCCTGCAAACCCCACCAGTATTCAAATTTGGGCATATTGGATATTTGTGCCAAATTTGGTCCAGTGAATGATAATACATCCTGCATATCAGATATTTACATGATAGTTCATAACAGGAGCAACATTACAGTTATGAAATAGCAACAAAAATTATTTTATGGTTGGGTGGGGGGTCACCCCAACATGAGGAACTGTATGAAGGGGTCGCTCTATTAGGAAGGTTGAGAAGCACTGTTCTAGAAGGTTCTGAACAACTGTGCATGCGCAGGACAAAACCCATATGTGCGAATTTCACAGACTCCACAAAGAGGAAGCAATGAGTCCATGAAGGAGCCACATATTGTTGGCTTTGTGCAAAAAAAGGACGCGATCGGAAGGGTGCAAGCCTTACCTGGGAGTCCTTCAGCATGGTGCTCACTGCCACAGGGACGCTGCAGCCGCCCTCCTGCAAAGGGAAGAGAAGTCACGCCGTGCTCCTTCCTTCCTTCCCTCCTTCCCTCCATTCCTTCCTTCTGGCCCAGGACTTACCAAGTGCTTCATGAAGGCCCGCTCCGCAATGCAGCGCAGCACCGTCTCCCCGTCGTGCAGGACGGACACCATCTCCAGGATCTCCAGGTCCCTGGCCCTCACTTCCACGGCTAATGCGCCCTGGAGAGAGGCAGAAAGGGAATCAAGAGTCCATCTAAACACAAAAAATATTGGGAATCTATTTCCCAAGAAAACCTGAATATTACCTATTAAATATTATGGATTCAGATCTTATTTTAGATCCAAACATGGATATTTTATTTACTTATATCTCGACAGCAGCAAGGATATCATACGCAAGAATTTGGAAAATGGACAATATTCCGGAAATAGAAGATTGGACAAATAAGTTGCAGGAGATTAAAGATATGGACAAATTAACCTTTTTTTTGAAGAAGAAGAACTCGGGAAAACCAATAAATGAGACAAACGGGTCATCATTTGAAAATTATTTAAAGGAAAGAAGTCAAGAGGACAAATAATAACAAAATTAATTCTCGAGACTTTTGTTCATTTTCATGTGGAAAAAGGAGCCACTGAAGTTTCCCCAATTATAGTAATTATGCGCAATTACTATAACGAAATAGTAACAAAATTGTGCCAGTCTGAACTTTATTGCCAATAGTTAGCTTATTTACAGGTTTAACGGCGCTCCATGCAGTCATGCTGGCCACATGACCTTGGAGGTGTCTACGGACAACGCTGGCTCTTCGGCTTAGAAATGGAGATGAGCACCACACCCCAGAGTCAGACATGACTGGACATAATGTCAGGGGACTACCTTTACCTTTACCTTTACTGCATTTTAGGAAATTTTATAATTCTTATATTTTTAATGGGCTTTTATGTACATTGTTGTTTTATACATATGTTACAAAGCAGGGAGCTTTGAGATGGTTGAACAGAAGCTCTCCGAAGCTCTAGGTGCCTTGACTGCCTATTACAGGGAAAACCAGCTGATCCCTAATCCAAGGTGAAAGACATGTGCTTTTCACCTTAAGAACAGGCAAGCATCCCGAGCTCAGAGGATCACCTGGGAAGGAAGGAATCCCACTGAAGCATTGCAGTACACCCAAATACCTGGGAGTCACTCTGGACCGTGCTCTGACCTACAAGAAGCACTGCCTGAACATCAAGCAAAACGTGGGTGCTAGAAACAATATCATACGAAAGCTGACTGGCACAACCTGGGGATCACAACCAGACACAGTGAAGACATCTGCCCTTGCGCTATGCTACTCTGCTGCTGAGTATGCATGCCCAGTGTGGAACACATCTCACCACACTAAAACAGTGGATGTGGCTCTTAATGCGACATGCCGCATTATCACGGGGTGTCTGCGCCCTACACCACTGGAGAAATTACACTGCTTAGCCGGTATTGCACCACCTGACATCCGCCGGGAAGTAGCAGCCAATAGTGAAAGGACCAAGGCAGTGACATCTCCAGCTCATCCCCTGTTTGGGTATCAGCCAGCACGTCAATGACTTAAATCAAGAGACACTCGCTGGAACACCTCAGCAAGCGAGAGTCCAAAAGTGGCAGGCTCAAACCCAGAACCTCAACCAATGGCTGATACCAAATGAGAGACTCCCCTCTGGGCACACAGAAGATTGGGTGACATGGAAGGTGCTGATTGGACTGCGCTCTGGCACCATGAGATGCAGAGCCAACCTTCAGAAATTTATTTATTTATTTTATTTATTTATTTTATTCACTTGTATACCGCTAATATCTCAGCCTAGGTCGGCGACTCATTGCGGTTTACAACAATTAAAAAACAGTCTCCAATTTAAAACATACACACATACAATACAAATTATTGGGCCACCAATAATAATCCCATGCATCTCGAACTAAAATCATAATCCAGAATTCGTTGTCCATGATTACCTGTCCTTAGTCGCCAAAATTCGAATTGCAACAGATTAGCCGAATGCTTGTTTAAACAACCATGTTTTCAATCTCTTCCGAAACACCATCAGCGAAGAGGCTGATCGTATCTCTATAGGGAGGGTGTTCCAAAGCCGAGGGGCCACCACAGAGAAGGCCCTGTCTCTCGTTCCCGCCAGCCGCACTTCTGAAGCTGGAGGGACAGAGAGCAGGGACTCTCCATAAGATCTTAGGGTCCTGGTGGGCTGATAGGCTGAGATACGTTCGGATAGATAAGTTGGGCCAGAACAGAAATGGGACCACAAAGTGGAATCCACGACATGCGAGTGCGGAGGAGAGCAAACCACTGACCACCTGCTGCAATGCACCCTGAGCCCTGCCACATGCACAAGGGAGGACCTTCTTGCGGCAACACCAGAGGCACTCCAAGCGGCCAGGTATTGGTCAAAGGACATTTAATCAACTACCAAGCTTGCAAACTTTGTGTTTTCTCTGTTTGTTTGTTTGTTTTGTTCTCTTAGAAATGTAATACAATTGAGTGGTTGCCCTGACACGACAAATAAATAAATATTTTATATTTGTGTACTTGTATACTGAGTTTTGTGGTTCAGATGCGGCACCGTAGTGCTTCTGAGAGCTGCCCCAAGTCCCTCTGGAGAGATGGTGGCAGGGTGCAAATAAAGATTTATTATATATTATATATTATTATATATATATTATTATATATATTTATTGCTCTAGTTATAGTAACACATTTTTCACGAATTATACTTTAGAAACACTTTAGAAATGAAATGCCAGTGCCTCTTAATTTTTGAATCATTTTTTTTAATGCATCGCACCTCGCAATGACACAAACCTGTCCGACGGCATAGAGGCACTCCGTGGGAGTCAGGATCTGGAAGGAAGGAAGCGAAGGGAGGTCAGTCCGGATGGGGCCCAAGAGGAGAGTCCAGTTGCGGATGGACGGGCGAACCCCTTCTCCCCGCTCACCTGGCCAATGCGGTCCTCCCAGCCCATGCGCCGAAGGCCGGCCGTGGCCAGAACGATGGCGCTGAAGTCATCCTTTTCGTCCAGCTTCTTTAAGCGAGTGTTCAGGTTGCCCCTCTGCGCAAGCGGACCGTTAGGGAAAACGAGCCTTTCCAGGGCAAGCCATGCTCTCATCCAGGTATGGGCCAACTTGGGCCCTCCAGCTGTTTTGGACTTCAACTCCCACAATTCCTAGCAGCCTACCGGCTGCTAGGAATTGTGGGAGTTGAAGTCCAAAACACCTGGAGGGCCCAAGTTTGCCCGTGCCTGCTCTAATCCATTATTTATTCCTATCTATCCCACTTTTTCTCTTGGCACACAACATGTAAACAAGAAACATTACAACCCATTAAAAATATGGTTTGTAAGCCTACGCTGTGCTTCCAAGCAGCGTCTCTGAGCAAAGGAAAGGATACGATGTCCTTGAACTGCAGGTGCGGAAAAGCCCGCTTCAGCTGAGCCGCCCGGCGAAGGGAGCTGGTCCCAATCACACTGCGGAAGAGACCAAAGAAAGAAGGCGGGCGGCTATTAGCTCAGTTCTGGGTGGGTCCCACCTCCCCTGACTCTTTCCCAAGAACATTGTGAAACCGTGTATTTGTTTTGTTATTGTTTATTTTTGACAATGTGCTCTTACTTTTGATGCAAATGTGGTTTGTTTTGGGTCTGGGTGGGTTATTTTGTCCTGGTCTAGTGTTTACGGCATTGAAATTTGTCGTTAACCACCCTGAGTTGTTGTTGTTGTTATTATTATTATTATTGGGTTGTTGTAGGTTTTTTCGGGCTATGCAACCCAGTGATTCCGGCCATGAAAGCCTTCGACAATACATCATCATCATCATTATTTGAAACACAACAAGATGAGTCCACAGCAGACACTCTGCTGGCTGTTGAATTAGATCACTTATTATTATTATCAGTATTATTATTATTATTATTATTATTATTCGATAGCTTGGCCATTTGAATATATTCTAATAACTTTTCTCTCCAATGCTTTGTAGATATATATTAGATAGATAGATAAATAGCTGGTGGCGCAGTGGGTTAATAAAGTATTATTATTATTATAATTCAATAGCTTGGCTATTGGAATATATTCTAATAACTTTTCTCTCCAATTCTTTTTAGATATGTATTAGAAAAATAGATAGATCAATAGATAGTTGGTGGTGCAGTGGGTTAATAAAGTATTATTATTATTATTATTATTATTATTATTATTATTAGATAGCTTGGCTATTTGAATATATTCTAATAACTTTTCTCTCCAATCCTTTTTAGATATGTATTAGATAGATAGATAGATAGATAGATAGATAGATAGATATAGATAAGATAGAAAAGTTGGTGGTGCAGTGGGTTAATAAAGTATTATTTTTATTATTATTATTATTATTATTATTATTAGAAACACAACAAGATGATTCCACAGCAGACAAGATCATTCTGCTGGCTGTTGTAGTGGGTTAATAAAGTATTATTATTATTATTATTATTATTATTATTATTATTATTATTTTATAGCTTGGCCATTTGAATATATTCTAATAACTTTTCTCTCCAATCCTTTTTAGATATATATTAGATGGATGGATAGCTGGTGGTGCAGTGGGTTAATAAAAGTATTATTATTATTATTATTATTATTATTATTATTATTATTATTATTATTATTATTATTCGATAGCTTGGCCATTTGAATATATTCTAATATCGTTTCTCTCCAAGCCTTTTTAGATATGTATCAGATAGATAGATAGATAGATAGATAATAGATAGATAGATGGTGGCATAGTGGGTTAAACTGCTGAGCTGCTGAACTTGCTGACCAAAAGGTTGGTCGTTCGAATCTGGGGAGCGGTGTGAGCTCCCACTGTTAGCCCAAGCTTCTGCCAACCTAGCAGTTTGAAAACATGCAAATGTGAGTAGATCAATAGGTATCACTTCTGCGGGAAGGTAACAGCGCTCCATGCAGTCATGCCAGAGGCCACATGACCTTGGAGGTGTCTATGGACAATGCCGGCTCTTTGGCTTAGGAGTGGAGATGAGCACCAGAGTCCCAGAGTCAGACGCAACTGGACTTAATGTCAAGGGAAAAACCTTTACCTTATATTATATATTATTAGTATTTTTATATTATATATTAATTAGTGTTGTTATATTATATATTATTGTTACTATATTACATACTATTAGTATTATTACATTATATATCCCAGATATATCCCAGATAATAATAATAATAATAATAATAATAATAATAATGTTTATTTATTTATCATGTCAGGAGCAACCAGACATTTGTATTACATTTACAAAATAATAATAATAATAATAATAATAATAATAATAATAATTATAATTATAATAAAATTGACACGACTGGGCTTACTCTCAGGGGAAAACCTTTACCTTTACTACCTAATATATTAGAGCAAATATAAAGACATTATATCTCATCTGATCATGGGAACTAAGCAAGGCAACCCTGTTTAGTATTTGGATGGGAGACACCATTGGGTACCAAGGATATCAAGGTGAGGCCTTCTTATGACTCTAGCTCAGGCATGGGCAAACTTGGGCCCCTCCTCCAGGTGTTTTGGACTTCAACTCCCAGAATTCCTAACAGCCTCAGGTCCTTTCTTTTTCCCCCTCAGCCGCTTAAGCGGCTGGAAGGGGGAAAAGGAAGGGACCTGAGGCTGTTAGGAATTCTGGGAGTTGAAATCCAAAACACCTGGAGGGAGGGACCAAGATTGCCTACACCTGGTCTAGCTGCAACAAAGCTATGTTGACACATTTCCTCATCTCCTTTGCTAATTCTCTCTCTGTATTTTCCTAGGAGGCTCACCTCTTATCCGGGAGGCTGCCGAGGGTTTTGCCAATGTGCTTCGGGTGGAAGACAACGGCGTCGTGCGGGTTCTCCCTCCTGCGAAGGAAAACAGAAGGATGGGTTAGAAAACACCACAGAAAGGGGCAGTTTTAGGGGCAAAGGCTGTGTTTTTCTCAGGCCGCACTGGGAATTGCACTTCTCAAAAGGAGCAGAAGCAAGCCTTACGTGGTCTGCCTTTGTAGGGAAAAGGGAAGGCGGGAGATGGTCACGGAATAAAATAACATTTGGCGTAGCCGGCAGGATTCCTGGCAGTGGAGAGATAAAGAAGGACAAGGACACTCACTTGCAGACGGCTCCGATGGTGAATCCAGGCGGAAGAGAGGTGGGCAGGTCTTTCAGGGAGTGGACGACCAAGTCAACCCTGCAATCGCAGAAGGAAGAAATTGCAATCGGTCAATATGGTGACCACATCCCTGGATGGAGACGGAAGGCAGCACCAAATAATAATAATAATAATAATAATAATAATAATAATAATCTATATAAATAAAAATATGGTCGTTTGTGGGATTAACAGAACTCAAAAACCACTGGACGAACTGACACCAAATTTGGACACAAGACACCTAACAACCCAATGTATGTCCTTCATTTGGGAGTTGTAGTTGCTGGGATTTGGGGAAAATAGAATCTTGACATTTGGGTGTTGCAGTTGCTGGGATTTATAGTTCACCTACAATCGAAGAGCATTCTGAAACCCACCAACGATGGAATTGAACCAAACTTGGTGCACAGTTCTCCCATGACCAACAGAAAATACTGGAAGGGTTTGGTGGGTAGTGTCCTTTGGTTTTGGAGTTGTAGTTCACCTACATCCAGAGATCACTGTGGGCTCAAACAATGATGGATCTGTACCAAACTCTACACGAAGACTCAATATGGCCAAATGTGAACACTGGTGGAGTTTGGGGACAATAGATGCTTGACATTTGGGAGTTGTAGTTGCTGGGATTTGTAGTTCACCTACAATCACAGAGCATTCTGAACTCCACCAATGACAGAATTGGGCCAAACCTCCCACACAGAACCCCCATGTGGGCCACAGCAACGCCTGGTAGGGGACGGCTAGTAAATATAATAAAACTTGATTTATATACCATTCTATCTCCCTGAGGGGGACTCAGGGCGGTTTCCAAGTAACATCACCGAAACATACAAAGTAAACAGCATAACATAAAATTAACAAAACAACATAAGCATAAAATTATCACAAGAACACATGTATATTAAAAATAATCCTGCCTGTTCGGAGTAATTAAAAAGCCGGGCCAAGGCTAGTGCAAACTCAGAATTGCCCATGGTGGTCCACGCTCTCGCTACATCTAGGATAGACTACTGCAATGCACTCTCCGTGGGGTTGCCTTTGAAGATTGCTTGGAAGCTTCAAATCGTCCAATGAGAGGCAGCCAGGTTAATAACTGGGGCGGCATACAGGGAGCACACAACTCCCATGTTACGCCAACTCCACTGGCTCCCAGTTTGCTACCGGGCACAATTCAAAGTGCTGGCTTTGGTCTATCAAGCCGTAAACGGCCCCGGCCCAAATTACCTGTCTGAGCACATCTCCCCCTATGAACCATCACAGAGATTAAGATCCTCCAGGGAGGCCCTGCTTTCCATTTCGCCATTGTCATAGGCGCGATTGGTGGGGACGAGAGACAGGGCCTTCTTGGTGATTGCTCCCCGGCTATGGAACTCCCTTCCCGGTGAGATCAGGTCGGCCCCCTCCCTCCTGTCCTTTAGAAGGAAGGCTGTAGGACTAAGCTTTTGGGACAGGGCAATAAAGCGGCAGTGGGAAAGATGACCAGGCCAAAATATTAGTTTTGATGCGGATGACTGTGACGGTTTTGAATGGTGTATTTTAATATTTTGATAATTTTTTTAATGTTTATGTATTGTATGTGGATTTGTGTCCCAGCATTGAATGTTTGCCGTGTATATGCTGTGAGTCCCCTGAGTCGGGGTGAGAAGAAGGGCAGAATATCAATGTTTTAAATAAATAAATAAATAATCAAATATGCAGGGACCGGGAATGGAATACAGTGCCATAACATGCTAATGGCAATAGTAAATAGAGGCCAATGGGGCCAAAGGATGAGGAGGAGGAGAAAGGTGCCAATTTAAAGGGCGTGGACAGGACTGGATCCAGCTCACTTTCCCAATCTGCACAGGTCAACTGTGCAGGAAAGTAGGCCCATGTCCCTCAGGGAAAGCATGGCCTACATTCATTGTATCGGTGCATTCTAATCCCCTCTGTATCGGTGATAGGGATTTTAATAGGGTTTGTTTTGATCTCACTGTTTGGACCATGTTGTGCCCGGCCATGAAGCTGCAAGGAGAGGCAGGTCATCTATATCTATATTTAAATCTATATCTATATATCTATGTATATATTTATATCTCCATCTATAGATATAATGACAGACAGTGTCTGTTTGCATGCATTTGTGTGTGTATGTTTGTGTGTATGTATGTATGTATGTATGTATGTATGTATGTATGTATGTATGTATGCAGGTGGCAATGTCTTTTTCTGGCCGAGCCTCCAACTTCCAGAGACGACTGTGATCCCCACGAATGATGGACCACAGACACCCCCCCGCGTGACCCACTTTACGTCTGGTGTGGTTTGGGGGAGGATGGACCACGGATGATGGAATTTGCAGTACCTTCACTCCTTTTGTCTTTGACTTCCACAAACCACTGCGACACCCACAAATGACAGACCTGGAGCAAGCATGGCACACAAACCATGACACACTTTACATTCTGGTGAGGTGTGTGTGTGTGTGTGTGTGTGTGTGGGGTTGACTCTGAATTCTGGGAATTGTAGTTCACCCAGATCCAGAGAGCATTGAACATAGCCAACGATGGATCTGGAACAAACTTGGCACACACACCCAACATGGCCAACTGTGAATACTGGCAGGGTTTGGCAGTGATTGATCTTGGAATATGGGAGTTGTAGTTCACCCGCATCCACAAAGGACTGATGACAGATCTCAACCAAACTGGGGCACAGACCCAGCATGGCAAACTGTGGGATTTGGCAGTGATTGACCCAGAATTTTTGAGAATTGTTGTTCAACCACATCCTTATGCATTTTCCTAATTAAAGCATTCATAAAAAACAAAAGCAAACACTGGTTATTTCTCTCTAAGAAATAGCCTAATTACCTAACTGAATTTACCTAACATCCAAAAACAAACAAGGCCTATTTCAAATAATCCGGGCATTGGCAGGTACCCAAGCTAGTATATAATAAAAGTCAGTGTTTGTATGTTTGCATGTATTGACCTGGGACCAAACTTGGCATAGAGAACTCCCATGATGCACTTTACGTCCTGGTGAAGTTGAGTTTTTTTTTTTTTGGGGGGGGGGGGGGGAGAAACTATTTATTGTCAGCCTTGCGACCCCCTCAGCGGTCCCAACACATATAGACAGACAGTCAGAGGCTATTTAACATTCCAATTTTCTAGCCACCAGGGGAGCTGTCGCTTCACCGTCCATCTGCAACACTGATGAAGTACTTTCCGCATTCCCCGCATGCTTTTGCTGGAGATTTTTATGGCCTCGTAAATTTGTTAAATTAGCCTCCCCACACATAGGTGGTACCTAAATTTCCTACTTGACAGATGCAACTGTCTTTTGGGTTGCAAAGGTCGACAACAAGCTACACAATTGGCCGGAAGCTCACTCTGACCCGGGCTGGCTTCGAACTCATGACCTTTTGGTCAGTAGTGATCTTAATGCAGCTGACACCCAGCCTGCTGCACCACAATCCTGGTGCAGGGTATCAGCTGCATTAAGATTACTACTGACGGGAAGATCATAAGTTTGAAGCCAGCCCAGGCCGGAGTGAGCTTCCAACCAAATTGTGTAGCTTGCTGTCAACCTTTGCAACCCGAAAGACAGTTGCATCTGTCAAGTAGGAAATTTAGGTACCACCTATGTGTGGGGAGGCTAATTTAACAAATTTACGAGGCCATAAAAATCTCCAGCAAAAGCACGCAGGGAATGTGGAAAGTACTTCATCAGTGTCGCAGATGGATGGTGAAGCGACACCTCCCCTGGTGGCCAGGAAATTGGAATGTTAAATAGCCTCTGACTGACTGTCTATATATGTTGTGTGTCTATGGCATTGAATGTTTGCCATGTATGTGTACATTGTAATCTGCCCTGAGTCCCCTGTGGGGTGGAGAAGGGCGGAATATAAACTGTAAATATACTGTAAATAAATGTAAATACATAAATCTCAGCACAGAGAAGCCCAATGATGCACTTTATGTCCTGGTGCAGTTTGGGGGAGGATGAAACACGGATGATGGGATTTGCAATACCTTCTTGGGCATCAGTCGTGGTTCTGCACCAGTTTCTAATGGGTCCACTCATAACATCCAAAAATGAACAAACAATGCCTTTTTCAAATAATCTGGGCATAGCCAGGTACCCAAGATAAATAATAATAATAACAATAATAATAATAATAATAATAATGCAGGGGGGCTTTGAATCCCAGGCGCAGTTCACTCACTCGTTCCTTTCCAAGGCGTTTTCCAGCTCTTTGGTGAAGAGGCTTTTCTCTCCGATCTGGAACAGGAAAGGACACGGCGGTCAGGGCTGCATTCGCCCAAATGGGAAGGGAGGCAGGTACAAAGGGAACCGCTCACCTTGGACAGTGCAGTGTCCAGGATCTTGTCTCCTGTGGTTGTCATGCCGACTGTGGATGGGGAAGGAAAGGCAAGGCTCCATTAGGTCAAGAGGCCAAAGCAGTCTAAAGGGGCCGAGCAAAGGGTCAAAGCAAAGGCACACTCACTGATCTCGAAGTGGAGCTGAGGATGGTGCTTCTGCAGCATCTCCACCACGCTGTCTGTCTGGATACGGGCCAGCTGCAAAGGGGGAAAGGGCCCATATCAATATATTGATCAATGCATTCGGAATTTCCTGAATCCAATGCAATCAATAACAACAATAGCTGCATATCTGGAGTCAATTGGGGTAATAACAATAATTATAATAATAATGTATTGTCGAAGGCTTTCATGGCCGGAATCACTGGGTTGTTGTAGGTTTTTTCGGGCTATATGGCCATGTTCTAGAGGCATTCTCTCCTGACGTTTCGCCTGCATCTATGGCAAGCATCCTCAGAGGTAGTGAGGTCTGTTGGAACTAGGAAAAAGGGTTTATATATCTGTGGAATGGCCAGGGTGGGACAAAGGACTCTTGTCTGTTGGAGCTAGGTGTGAATGTTTCAACTGATCACACCTAGAATGCCTCTAGAACATGGCCATATAGCCCGAAAAAACCTACAACAATCCAATAATAATAATAATAATAATAATAATAATAATAACAACAATAAACATTATTTATACCCCGCCGCCATCTCCCCAAAGGGGCAACTTACATGTGACCAAGCTCAATCATGCATTACAACAGAATACAACCAAAAACACACAATAAACTAAAATAAAATAAACCTAAAGAATACAATAAATTGCAAGGGTGATGCAGATCAGGATCTTCACCCTTTGCTAACAGCTTGCTTATTTTAACTTTGGTTGTAATGTAGGTTGTATGCTGTATGTGTATGTGTCAAGTGTGTTTTGATACAGCCAATGGGCTAATCAATAAAACAAACTGTCTATTGAATTGTCTATGACAAGGGTCCTCAAACTAAGGCCCGAGGGCCGGATATGGCCCTCCAAGGTCATTTACCCACCTTACTCAGGGTCAACCTAAGTCTGAAATGACTTGAAAGCACACAACAACAACAACAACCATCCTATCTCTTCAGCCAAAAGCAGGCCCACACTTCCCACTGAAATACTAATAAGTTTATATTTGTTAAAATTGTCCTTCATTTTAATTATTGTATTATTTTTAAGTGTTTTTTTGCACTACAAATAAGATATGTGCAGTGTGCACAAGAATTCATTCATTTTTTCCCCCAAATTATAATCTGGCCCTCCAATAGTTTGAGGGACTGTGACCTGGCCCTCTGTTTAAAAAGTTTGTGGACCCCTGCTCTACACAGTACCCACATTATAAAACATAACACTATGTAACATGCTCATGGCTGCCAATACACACCATAAAAATAGTAGCAATAATAACAACAACAATAACAACACATGTAACATAATTTGGAAAATGTCCTGTTCCTGGCTTGAAAGTGTAATTTCCTGTTTAATTGTGCGGGCCTCACTTTGAAAGTAGTTGCTATGGTCCAGAAACTTCACTTTTGTGGCTGCCATTTGTAACCTTTCATATGCAATTTAGTTTGCAAAACCGCAACTCTCACCATGGGGCCAGGGCGGTTTAAATTTCATATTAATACTATTATATTGAATTTAATTTAATTAATAATGAGTACAATAATGACTTGTACTCATTATTATTTATATTTACATTATATTATAATATTATAATATAATATAATGAATATTATATTTATATTATATTCGTTATACTCATTATTAATCTATCAGGCATGGACAAACTTGGGCCTATATATATGTTGTTGTTGTTCATTCGTTCAGTCGTCTCCGACTCTTCGTGACCTCATAGACCAGCCCACACCAGAGCTCCCTGTCGGCCGTCACCACCCCCAGCTCCCTCAAGGTCAGTCCCGTCACTTCAAGGATGCCATCCATCCATCTTGCCCTATATATATAATACTACATATACTATGTTAACAAAATGTTCTGTTTTTGGTTTGAAAGTGTTATTTCTTGTGTAATCGTGCAGTCCTCGCTTGGAAAATCAATGTCCTGCTCCAGAAAGTATGTTTTTGTGACACAAAAGAGGTTGAATTGGATGAGAAATACATTGAAAAATTATTGCAAAATCTGCTATACCAGGATGTGCAGTTTAATAAACTTTTTCTATATTTTTTTATGATAGGACCAATTAGGAAATGACACTCACAACACAACAACAAAACAACAACACTGTATTTCTTCCATTGTAAGGCTCAGTTTTGAAAGATTTCTTCCAGTCTAAGACTCACAGCTCTAAAAATGGGGTGTATTTTAGAATTGCAAGTATATTGTAAGAATATAGTCCTGGAACTGGGTTGCGCCTTAACATCCATGGCGTCTCACAAAGGAAGAAATACAGCGATAGCAACACCCACAGCAACAACGACAACTACTCCTACTATTTAACTTCTTACCTGCCTTAGTTGAAATGCATAAATAAAAAAGACACATATATTAAGAGGCATAGATGAAAAGACACACACGTAAGATTAAAATGCACATTAACATTATTTATTCATACTAATAAAATGTCAATTTAGCATTCATACTTCAAAATGGACTGGGTCGGCCTGCTGGGCAAGACAGGTCTTTAATTCTGTTTGGCTGTCAAATCTCTTTCAGGTCTTTCCAGAGCATATGGGCATGCCACGAAAAGATCTTGTGTGTGTGTGTGTGTATTGTATAGATCAGTGGTTCTCTCAACCTGTGGGTTCCCAGGTGTTTGGCCTACAATTCCCAGAAATCCCAGCCAATTTACCAGCTGTTTTGATTTCTGGGAGTTGAAGGCCAAAACATCTGGGGACCACAGGTTGAGAGAACCACTGGTATAGATAGATTATACACACATACACACACAATAATAATTTCCTAATTTGTTCTGACCTAAAAACATGGGAAAAGTTCATTAAACTGCTAAAACTTTGTCTTGGGCCATCCTGCAGCACATTTGGATGTAATTGGCTGTTTGGCTGTCAAATCCCATATGCCCATATGCTCTGGAAAGACCTGAAAGAGATTTGACAGCCAAACAGAATATCAGCGCTGGTAATGTCTACATAACAGATAACAGTAACCTGTGCTACTTTCATACCATCAACTGGACCAGCCTCTTCAGCACTCTCAACCAAAAGACTGTGATCCATAGAAACAAGAAAGCAGAAAACTGCACTACAGAGGGGATGGTATGCAGCCCTTTATGCTCGAGAAATGGATGTTGGGGACCAGGGCCAGACCAGTGTTTGTCCTGTAGGCATTTCATCAGAGGAAGGACCTGTGTAAAGGCTTGTAACCTCTATGATGGAGAATACAGAGAGTTTGCAAATGGTTCCGTCTGTGTGGAATGTGACTCTCAGTGTGAGAAGATGGATAACAACAGGATCACATGTAGGGGACCGATCATTGCACAAAATGTTTCCATTTTAAAGATGGCCCCAATTGTGTGGAAAAGTGTCCTGATGGTGTACAAGGGACAAATAGCTTCATTTTCAAATATGCTGATGAAGACCGCGAATGCCACTCTTGCCATCCAAACTGTACTCAAGGGGCTCAATTGCTGCTAGCAGTACAATTCTGTTGTTAAGTTGGTGTATTCTAAGCCTGAAGTGCTCTGACATTTGAGAAGTTGTACAATGCTCCTCCTACCAGTGTACATACTTTGGGACTTTGGAACTCCCTGCCATTAGAGATCAGAACTGCCCCCTCCCTCATGACGTTCAGGAAACTAACAAAGACCTGGTTGTGGAACGCGGCATTTGACAACTGATTTAATTCTTTGCCCACATGAAAGGAGGATGATGAATGGGATTGTGATGGTGTTGGACGATTTGGCTCTTTTAACTGTGATGATAATGTTTTAATGTGTATGGTGCTGATATTTTAATCGTGTAATGAAGTGGCATTGTGTTGTTATTGTATATTCTTTGTATGTTAACACATGTTGTGAACCGGTCTGAATCCCTCTTTGAAGGTGAGAGGGTCGGTATATAAAACCTCGAAATAAATAAATAAATAAATAATAATTATTAATAAATATCTCATCACTGAGTCTCACCCAATTCAACCTAATTTGTGCCGCAAAAACGAAATTTCTAGAGTAGAACGACTACTCGCAAAGGATGGACTGCACCATTCAACAGGAATAACACTTTCAAACCAGGAACAGAACATTTTCCATGTTACATATTATTATTATTATTATTATTACTATTATTATTATTATTATAAATAATAATAATAATAATAATAATAATAATAATGTATTGTCAAAGGCTTTCATGGCTGGAATCACTGGGTTGTTGTAGGTTTTTTTGGGCTATATAGCCATGGTCTAGAGGCATTTTTTGATATTGATTGTTATGTATAATGTGTTTTAATTGCCTATGATACTGTCTTGTGATAATTTGTATTATGTAAACTGTTTTGAGTCGCCTAAGGGCTGAGAAAAGCGGTATAGAAATAAAGTAAATAAAATAAATAAATAAATAAATTTTCTCCTGACGTTTTGCCTGCATCTATGGCAAGCATCCTCACCTCACTACCTCTGAGGATGCTTGCCATAGATGCAGGTGAAACGTCAGGAGAAAATGCCTCTAGACCATGGCCATATAGCCTGAAAAAACCTTCAACAACCCAATAATAATAATGGTAACCAAGAGCACTGTGAAGGCCAATGCTTCTGCCATGCCTTGCGCGGGGTCTCTGTTCGGGCGGGGGCCCATTTGTAAGCCACAATGTTGATGGAGGCAAGTGGCCGGAGGAGATAAGCCCTCTGCCTCTTGGGAAGGGCCCTATCGCACCCCCCGGTCTGTGGCAGCGCCCCTCCATTGTTCGGCTGAGCCCAGAGATACGATCTACCGCAACTGCCTCCAAAGCTGAGAGTAACCTAAGGATCAATGTATTATCGAAGGTTTTCATGGCCGGAATCACTGGATTGCTGTAGGTTTTTTCAGGCTATATGGCCATGTTCTAGAGGCCAAAGTACATGCCTCTGGAATATTTTATTTATTTATTTCAATTACTTATACCCCGCCCTTCTCACCCCCGAGGGGGGACTCAGGGCGGCTTACAAACAAAGGCACAATTCGATGCCTGAATCAATAAACAAACAATACCTAAAAACGATTTAAACAGTTAACAAGATAAAAACATTAATACATAATACAATAGCAAACAATCTCATGCTCAGAGTTCAGAGTTCCATATGTTCATTCCATTCCACTCGCCCATGTTTATCGTCAGATCTTCCCTTAGCTGCCAGAATGTCCAAAAGCTTGGTCCCACATCCAGGTCTTCAGTTTTTTCCTGAACGCCAAAAGGGAGGTCGCTGATCTAATCTCCCCGGGGAGTGAGTTCCACAGGTGAGGGGCCACCACTGAGAAGGCCCTGCTCCTCGTCCCCGCCAGCCTCACTTGTGATAGTGGCGGGGTCGAGAGCAGGGCCTCCCCAGACGATCTTAAATTTTGAGATGGGATGTAGAGGGAGATCCGTTCGGACAAATACACTGGGCTGGAACCGTATAGGGTTTTGTAGGTCAAAACCAGCACTTTGAATTGTGCTCGGAATTGGATCGGCAGCCAGTGGAGCTGATGTAACAGGGGGGTGGTGTGCTCCCTGTACGTCCGCTCCGGTGAGCAATCTGGCTGCTTCTCGCTGGACTAGTTGGAGTTTCCGAGCAGTCTTCAAAGGCAACCCCACGTATATATGGCCATATAGCCCGAAAAAACCTACAACAACCCAGCCTAAGGATCCTTTCCATGCTTTTAATAAGAATGTCCTGGAGGAAAGAGTCGCTTGGAAGTGAAATATGCTGCCTTGAAAGGGGGGAGTCTCTTTTCTCTGGAGGTTGTTAAGAAGAGGCTGCATGGCCATCTGTCAGGAGGGCTTGGATTGTGCCTTCCTCAGTGGCAGAATGGGCTCAGACTGGATGACCGTCAAAGATCTCTATAACAGGGTTGTTGTAGGTTTTTTTGGACTATATGGCCATGTTCTAGAGCAGTGTTCCTCAACCTCCCTTATGCCGCGACCCCTTAATACAGTTCCTCATGTTGTGGTGACCCCCAACCATCACATTATTTTGCTACTTCATAACTGTCATTTTGCTCCTGTTATGAATGGTACTGCAATTATCTGATAAGCAGGGTGTATTTTCACTGGATCAAATTTGGCACAAATTCCCGATATGTCCAAATTTGAATGGTGGTGAGATTTGGAGGAGGGGGGATTTATTGATTTGGTTATTTGGGAGTTCGAGTTGTTGGGATTTATAGTTCACCTACAATCTGAACTCCACCAATGATGAAATTGAACCAAACCTGGCACACAAAACTCCCATGGCCAACAGAAAACACTGGAAGGGTTTGGTGGGCATTGACCTTGAGTTTGGGAGATGTAGTTCACCTATATCCAGACAGCACTGTGGACTCAAACAATGATGGATCTGGACCAAACTTGGCACAAATACTCAATATGCCCAGATGTGAACACTGGTGGAGTTTGGGGAAATAGACCTTGACATTTGGGAGTTGTAGTTGCTGGGATTTATAGTTCACCTACAATCAAAGAGCATTCTGAACCACTAACAATCAAATTGAGCCAAACTTCCTACACAGAACCCCCATGACCAACAGAAAATACTGTGTTTTCTGATGGTCTTTGGCGACCTCTCACACCCCTGGTGACCCCCTCAGGGGTCCTGACCCCCAGGTTGAGAACCACTGTTCTAGAGGCATTCTCTCCTGACGTTTCGCAAGCATCTTCAGAGGTAGTGAGGTCGAAAAAACCTACAACAACCGGCCATGAAAGCCTTCGGCAATACATTGAACATCTCTATAACACTTTGTAACAAAATCTGAAATATTTTCTGTTCCTGGTTTGAAAGTGTTATTTCCTGTTTAATTGCATGGTTCCTATTTATTTATTTATTTAAAACATTTCTATTCCGCCCTTCTTCTCACCCCGACTCAGGGGACTCAAGGCGGAGCACAGCATATATACGGCAAACATTCAATGCCGGGACACGAATTCATATACGCATACGTAAACATTTATCTCAATATTTAAATACACCATTAAAAACCATTCTGGTCATCAGTGTCAAACCCAATTGGCCTGGTAATCTTTCCTTACTCTGAGTATAGCTGCTGTACTTCAGAAACTTTGTTTTTGTGGCACAAACTAGGTTGGAACTCAATGAGATATTCATTGAATGAATGAATGAATGAATGGTTTATTTATATCCCTCCCCATCTCCCAAAGGAACTCGGAGCGGCTTACAACAAAGCAATAACATAAATATAATAATTGTTCCTTCCTCAATGACATACTGGACAGCCCTTGGAGATCTCTCCCAACTATAAAGAGCCAGGAAAGATGGATGGCAGCAGCAAGGGATGGCGAGACAATGTCCATACCTGGCTCTTCCTGGTCCCAACACGGATGGTCTGGCTCTTCAAGCCGTTCCCGTTCTTCTCCTGCAAAGAAAGACTGACAGTTACTTCCAGAGCCAAATAGTAAACCTTGCTGTACGCTGGAGTGGACTAGAAGGCATGGAAAAACAACGAGAATAACAACCATGTTATTACTGTTGACAGAACTGCCGTGAGCAATTATAACAAAGACAGCTTCACTACCAAATGTCTGTCGGCAAGGAATGAGCAAACGCACCCAAAAAACCTGGAAGGCACTGAAAATAAATATACAGTTATGTATTACACTGGCCAGCACATGTTTTGGTGCCTGAAATGTTAGTCCTGATGTTGACGATAATAATAATTATATATGATACTATAATATAATAGTAATATAATTTTATTTCTTACCTGCCTCTCCTCGTGGCTCGAGGCAGGTCACAGCACAGTCAAAAACAAATACTATAATATTAATTTATTTCCTATATTTATACCCCCCCCCCTTCTCCCCCCCCCCCAAGGAGACTCAGGGAAGCCATAATATAACATAATATATTAATTATAATATAATAATATATTATATATGACTACTACTAACAATATAATATAATTACAGGGGTCTGGAAGACTGAAAATACAATAATAATAATAATCCATAATAATAATATAATGAGAAGAACAATAATATGGGATACTAGTAATAATAGGAACAATAATAATATAACTATATAATAATAATATAGTATAATAGTGTAATAATAGGAACAAGAACAATATAGTAATATACTAGTAATAATAGTAACAATAATAACATAATAACTATATAATAATAATAATATACTATAAGAACAATGTAATAATGGGAACAAGAACAATATTATAATAATATACTAGTAATAATAGTAACAATAGTAATATAATAACTATATAATAATACTATACTATAATAACAATGTAATAATAGGAACAAGAATATCATAATAATATACTAGTAATAATAGTAACAATAATAATATAATAACTATATAATAATAATAATATACTATAACAATGTAATAATAGGAACAAGAACAATATTATAATAATATACTAGTAATAATAGTAACAATAGTAATATAATAACTATATAATAATACTATACTATAATAACAATGTAATAATAGGAACAAGAACAGTATCATTATAATATACTAGTAATAACAGCAACAATAATAATATATTATAATTATAATTTTTGACCTGCTGATTCCAAAAACGGCCCCTAGTAATAATAGTAACAATAATAATTTTTGACCTGTCAATTCCAAAAATGGCCTCGAGGTTTTGAGATACAGGACATAATGCTGTAATCAACCAGTCACCACTTGCTTGCCCATTGAAAACCATGATGACCATCTCTAAGAAACTAGAGCTGATGTGGTCGAACCAATGCAAATTTCTGAGTCAGCTCTCCAAAGAAGTTAATTAACAAGCCTAAAATACTAAGGCACCAAGAAATATATTGTGGGTTGTATTATTATTATCAGAAGGCATCTGCAGGCATGGGCCAACTCCGGCCCTCCGGGTGTTTCGGACTTCAACTCCCACAATTCCTAACAGCCGGTAGGCTGTTAGGAATTGTGGGAGTTGAAGTCCGAAACACCCGGAGGGCCGGAGTTGGCCCATGCCTAGCCGCATCCCTTACCTGGCCCTGGTTAGCCATCCTTGTGCGGGAAGGGTCTTTGCTGAGGAGCAATGCGGGAGGAAAGCCCAGCGCTGCTTGCCTTGCCCTGCCTGGTTGCCCCTCCTTGCAAACCCAGCCCAACCTGGAGCCAGAGATAAGGAAGGCCACAAAAGTCAGGCAGAAGGCTGACAATGGGGCCCCTCTGGCCACCAAACAAGGGGCATTTCAGCCACGTTTCTGCAGGCAGGAGATCCTTATGTTGTGGACGCCATTTGCCCTATGGCTAGCCACAAGGCTAATTGGCTGACCTCAACTCTATGTCTTTTACATTGGGAACATGTTGATCATATTATTATAGACCTGGAAGGGACCCCTCCCGACAGATGGCCATTCAGCCCCTGCTTAATAATAGCAATAACAACAACAACAACAACAAGCTCCTAGAGCTGGAAGAAACCTCTAAAGGTCATACAGTCCAACCTCTAACAACAACAGCAACAACAATAATTGGGAACATGTTTATCATACTATTATAGACCCTGAAGAGACCCCTGAAGGCCATCCAGTCCAACCCTCTTCTGCAAGATAGATGGTCATCCAGCATCTACATAATAATAATAATAATAATAATAATAATAATAATAATAATAATGGAATCATGGACTTGAAAGACCACCCCTGAAGGCCATCCAGTCCAACCCTCTTCTGCAAGATAGATGGTCATCCAGCATCTACATAATAATAATAATAATAATAATAATAATAATAATAATAATAATAATGGAATCATGGACTTGAAAGACCACCCCTGAAGGCCATTCAGTCCAACCCTCTTCTGCAAGATAGATAGTCATCCATTTTCACACCACACGCTTTGCTAGTTTTTTGCAAAGATAAGGAGTCGCCTGTGTTACTACTCTTCTGCAAGATAGTCATCCAAGCATCGCTTTAATAATAATAATAATAATAATAATAATAATAATAATAATAATGGAATCATAGACTTGGAAGAGACCCCTGAAGGCCATCCAGTACAACACCCTTCTGCCACACAGGAAAAACCCGCTGATCCCTCCCAACAGATGGCCATTCACAGCCTGCTTAATAATAATAATAATAATAACAACAACAGCAACAGAATCATAGACTTATAAGAGACCCTTAAGTTCATCCAGTCCAACCCCGTTCTGCAAGAAAGAAAAAGCACAATCCAAGCCCTCCCAACAGATGGCAATCCAGAGTCTGCTTAATAGTAGTAATAGTAGTAATAATAATTGTTGTTGTTGTTAGAATCCTAGAGTTGGAATAAACCTCTAAAGGTTATCCAGTTCAACCCCTAGTAATATTATTTGGAAGAGACCCCTAAAGGTCATCCAGCCCAACCCTCTTCTACAAGAAAGGGAAAGCACAATTCAAGCCCTCCCGACAGATGGCCATCCAGAGTCTGCTTAATAACAATACCAACAACAATAATAATGCAATCCTAGAGTTGGAAGAGACCCCCAACCCCCTTCTGCCAGGCAGGAAAAGCACAATTCAAGCCATCCTGATAGAACGACCACTCTAAAGTCCAGCTCCCTTTTGATGTAAAGGGAAAGCACCACCCAAGCCTTCCCAACAGATGGCCATCCAGCCTCTGCTTAACAACCTCCATAGAAAGAGACTTTCCTAGACTCCAAGGTGACATATTTCCCTATTTCCACCAGGACGTTCTATCGCTGTCCATTTCACAAAGTACTATCCTATTTTATTGAGAGCCAATGAAGCACTCAATTGAATCATCTGGGCCTGTAATGAGTATCTGGACTTGATGTCCTCCTGGAATTAGGAAATTGGGAAATGGCATTGATAACCCAGGAACAGGAATCATGTCATTCTTCTTCCTGAGCAGCTTCCTCCAGGACCACACCTCAATCGGTTGAGTCTCATCCCACTCTCCATCTTCCACAATCATCCATGGATATTGGCAATGCTCCGGCACATTTGGCCTTTAATGACATATCAAGGTATCAATTAACGAGTTCTGCAGCAAGAGCTCAGGCAGCGCTTCCAGCCCACGGGATTGTGGCTTGGATTGTGCAAAAGGGAGGTTGCCACACCAGGGCCCATTGTGCAAGAAGCCGCAGGAGAAGGAGCAGCTCTACATCCATGATACTGAATCAGGGAAAGCTAGAGGTGGGAGAGGCACTCAAGGGCCAACCAGCCCAGCCCCCCTTTCTTTCTGCCAGGCAAGAAAGGCACCACTTGATCCCTCCCAACAGATGCCCAGCCAGCCTCTGCTTAATAATAATATAATCTAATCTAATAGATTGTTATATTCAATTGTTTGTATCAAATACCATGTATACTCGAGTATAAGCTGACCTGAATATAAGCTGAGGCACCTAATTTTACAACAAAAAACTAGAAAAACTGGTAAATTCCAAAATAAAAATAGATACCAATAAAATTGCATTAATTGAGGCACTGGTAGGTTAAATGTTTTTGAATAAACAAGGTAAGACTGTCCTCTGATTAAAGCATTATTCTCCCAAGCCACCTTGTCTCTCTCCTGAGGAATCTGTACAAGGACCAAGTAGCAACAGTCAGAACTGACCACGGAACAACAGACTGGTTCAAGATTGGGAAAGGCGTACGGCGAGGCTGCATACTCTCACCCAACCTTTTAACTTGTATGCAGAACACATCATGCGATGTGCGGGGCTTGATGAATGCAAAGCTGGGGTAAATTGCTGGAAGAAACATTAACAACCTCAGATATGCAGATGACACCACTCTGATGGCCGAAAGCGAGGAGGAGCTGAGGAGCCTTCTAATCAAGGTGAAAGAAGAAAGCGCAAAAGCCGGGTTGCAGCTAAACGTCAAAAAAACCAAGATAATGGCAACAAGAATGATTGACAACTGGAAAATAGAGGGAGAAACCGTGGAGGCCGTGACAGACTTTGTATTTCTAGGTGCAAAGATTGCTGCAGATGCAGACTGTGGCCAGGAAATCAGAAGACGCTTCCTTCTTGGGAGGAGAGCAATGTCCAATCTCGATAAAATAGTAAAGAGTAGAGACATCAGACTGGCAACAAAGATCCGCCTAGTCAAAGCCATGGTATTCCCTGTAGTAACCTACGTATGTGAGAGCTGGACCTTAGGGAAGGCTGAGCGAAGGAAGATCGATGCTTTTGAGCTGTGGTGTTGGAGGAAAGTGCTGAGAGTGCCTTGGACTGCGAGAAGATCCAACCAGTCCATCCTCCAGGAAATAAAGCCCGACTGCTCACTGGAGGGAAAGATACTAGAGACAAAGTTGAAGTACTTTGGCCACATCAGGAGGAGACAGGAAAGCCTAGAGAAGACAATTATGCTGGGGAAAGTGGAAGGCAAAAGGAAGAGGGGCCGACCAAGGGCAAGA